TCAGTCAAGCATTACTTTCAAATCTTTTTCTGGCAAGTTAAGTGTCTGGAACTTTTTTGTCTGCCTGATCAAAGCATAAGTAAGCACTCTGAGGGCGAGGATGTCACTGGTCCAGGTGTGTGTATCTCCAGTATTTTAGACCATGCTTCTGACATACTGTGTGCTTAAGAAAAGTGTGGAAAATAAGTGTTAAAACTGAAATCTTATTTGAGTTTTAAAAAAAGAGTGGAAGAAATACTTTGAGCTTAAATCACTATTCAAATTTTGCTTTAAAATCTAATTAAAACAGCAGGCAGAAATAACAGTAATCTCACCACATATAATTAATACTAAAAGGAATTTTTCTCAAAAAAAATTTTTTTAAGCCATCTTTTCTTTCTTTAAAAACAAAAACAACTAACTCCATGAGGCAGAATGCAGGAAAATGAAGCAGGGATAGAGACACAGCAGTGCTTAAGGATGGAGAAATGGCAGGAGACAACACTGTCTATCACCACCTTTTCTTATTTCTAAAAGCAGCCACTAGGCAAACCTTCTTCTAATCTTCTTCTAGTCTAGCATCTGCTTTGGAAAGGATGATCACAGTAAGAACTAAAGAGAAGACTATGTTCTTCTGGAGGTTGAGATAGGCAGAAGTTTGTTCTCTACCTTTGGAAAAAAGTAAACTCAACAACAGTCAGTCAGTCTGACTTCCCAAACCTCTGCAACCCCCAGACCCCACCCACAATTGAAGGGAATCACGAACTGGATTTGTTACTGAAGTGGAATGTCAATTTAGGTTACACAGCAAGGCCCTATTTCAAAGGAAACAAACAGGAAGGGGAGCACAAAAACAAAACAACAAAGCAGGCATGACATAAAGACTTTCAAGGGCAACCAAGCAGCTGACACATTATCTTAGACCTGCAAATTGTGGACACTGCACCCAAACCACCCCTGCCTGTCCTAAAGGCTGAGTTTGCCATGCCAGCTGGTTAGCTCAATAGGGTGGCAGTAATATGTGATACACAGAAGGTACAAATTATGTTGGTGTGGTCAGAATTCCCTACAGGCTCTTGAAAACTTCATGAATCTTCCTATATTTCAATCTAGGCTAAAAGGTGAACACAGATAAAAACAAATGGAGGTCTAAAGGTGGCAAAGCCTTGCACAGGCCTGAGCTTAAAGCAGTCATTCTAATAAGTCTCTATCAGCCAATCTGCAAAGGCATGTGGGAAGATATGGATTGCATAAGAGGGCAACAGTAACTTGGAGGTAAGCAGATAGTGGGCTTTCTGGAGCCACTCCATCAAGGGTGAGTGACATTATATCCTCCCTTACCTGTCTATACCCAGAGCCTCAGCTCCTTTGAAGTAGCAGGTGTTCAGCATCAGTTGTGACCAAATTTCTGTTTGTTCTAAAAATAGAGACCTGCGAGAATAAAACTTAACAGTTTTGAAGTCAAGATAAAAAGCAGAAAATCAGCAAACATGTTAAGAGATCACTAAAGGATCATGGCAAAGGAGGACTGCCTGCATTTGAATTCAGGTTTTAAAAATTAACACTCTGGTAAAAAAAAAAAATTATTTCATCTCTTTCTACATGTTAAATTCTGTTAATAGTACCTATCTCATAAGACAGTTATAGGGATTAAGAGATAATGTATTTCAAGCATTTACGACTCTGCTTGGCACATAATGTTGTACTGGCCTTTTCCTATTATTGTTACCTGCAGAGATGATTTCAAGAAACATTAAAGCTCCCTTTATCTGTTGCTCCAACCAGCTATTAATATCTATATGGTCTTTAATGCCTGTTGCCTAAGCGCCTTATAGTTATAGTCTCTCTTCACACTCAGGAATGCTTAAAGATCACTGCATCCCCACATAGCTCTGCTCTGGAATGTAGGAAATCACATAGCTTTTCTTCACCTGCTTTAACCAGACTTGTCCCTCGATGTTCAGTCTCTGTGCCACCTCTTCGACCAAGCTCATTCTGTCTTCCATAGCGGTTTATTTCAACCTTATTTTATCACTTTCTGCTTATACTGTCTCAAGATCAAATTATTAGCCACTGAAGGATACCAACACCATTCTGCCCATTGCTACACCCAGGAACATAGCAAGTAAGGAATAAACACTTAATACATTTGAAAGATTCATTCAGGTAAGCTCAAAAGTCTAAGGTAACTTTATTTAAAAGCTACTGAATTTTTAAGGACAAAAGTCAGAGATGGGCATGGAGGCACATACCTGTAATGCCTGTATTTGGAGGTAGAGGAAGAATGACCAGAAATCTATACTGGGTTATTTGACACCTTGAAACAACCTGCAAAACACTTGTCTGAAAACCTGCCATAATTTATCACTACACATTTTACGTCTTTATGTGTAAAAAAGAAAGACACTTGATTTTTTTTGCATTAAAAAATTTTTATTTCATTTAAAAGATCCAATATATGAAGCCAAATTAACCCCAAATTTACAGCTACATTTAGAGATCCTCTGAACTAAATGGCACTGTTCGAGGTCACCTATCATCACTATTTCCCCAAAGTTGTTTTTGAGCAAAAGCTGGTATTACTGTAATACACATATTTCAGATATCACCTTTCACACAGAAGCTAAAGGCTGACAGGCTTTTCCCTTCTGGGAGGAACCAGGTCCAGGGATTTTCTGAACACTACCTGTATGTAACTATAAAGTAACTTATGGTGCTGTGCTTTGCTTGTGTATTTATTCCAAATACTGATGTTGGTCAACACTTTCTGGGACAGTACTTCTGAATTTTCTTCTTCCAGTGTAAAGCACACCAAAGGAAGTGGGTTGCTCAAGCTAGGGACAAACTACCATAAAGCAAAGGAATAGCTTTCCTAGTTGGTCAGCAATAGTACAAACCACCTCCCCAATGCTTTCAGTTATGGCATCATTTACATAAAGTGAGGCGGGATCTATGGTCTCTACATACACATGAGGATAAAAGATGAGTTTGTTACTTTATAGCTACACCTTAAATTTCATTAGATGTGGAGACAATGTGTCTAAGGAGTCCTTTTGGAAATCACTTCAGTAAATGAGTCAACAGCCTGTGAAAGAGAAGACGTGGCAGAGGGTGGAAGATTCATTCTTCCAGCACTCTCCTGGAGGACAGAGCTGGGCCCAGGACAGAAGTTACTGGAAGGGAGGCTTCAAGTCCATTAAGGAGCCCTTCCTAACAGAGCTGTTCAACAATGAATGCACTGCTTGTGAGGTAGAGTCACTGCAAGTGTTCAAGGTGGAAAGACAACCTTGGAGAAGGGACGCCTGCATTTGTTAAGAGGTTAGACTGGATGAACCTCAGGTCTCTCTCAATTCTGAGATTCTAGAAAATTCCCTCAGGGAATTCAGAGGAGAATTCCTAAAAGGAAAGAGAAAGCACACATATGGTATACTTTTAGAATCCTCTTGAGTTTTCTTTTTTTAAAAGGTACAATAGAAAATGTAGTCTACGTTCTTTAAAATGCATATTTACCCTTCTACCGCTATTAATTAGGAAGGGTTCATTACAACTTCTTTATATTATAAAGAAAAGATGGAGATTATATTTATAATTTTGTAAATATTTTAGAAAAAATGCTTAAAATCTAGTAGTCAATGCCCTAGAAACTTTATAGATTTTTAAGTAATATGCACAAATACAAATACATTATTCATTAAATACAACTCACATCTGTGTTTTATTATACTCTAAAATATACAGGAATCTTGATGTACTGAAAGAGTGCAAGTAAATACAGTATTCAAGCAGTCACTATTTCTATGTACATGCTCATTAATTCTTCAAAAAACCCCACAAAATTATCAAATAGATCAAAATACTGTTCTGTGTTTTCACACTTTATATTCAGAAAAACCAGCTGATAATTTACAATGTCATAAAGTTCCAGTTTCACAATATAAAAAGGGTAAGATAAATTGGGTATCATTTTGTTGCAATGTATGGAACTTTATCCAGCTCTATTAAGAGCCCCCCACATGAAATCATTTGTACTGAGAAAGTGACAGTTACAGTAAAAACAGAACCACAGAGAAGTGTTTAAAAGCCCAATGTCAGCCCCTTCTTCATTACCTGAAAGGCAGTCTTCAATTTGCCAGGCAATCTCTCTCAGACAGTAACAAGCTGCAAACATGCTACACTAGGTCTGAATCAAACCTAAAGCCTGAAGTAGTTTAAATTTTGCCCAATATAAAAATGCCTTCCAAGTGACCTGATTCTGTTAATGTTATGAATTATCATCTACAGCAAACTTCAAAACTTCTGAAAATGAAGCCAAATGGTTTGGTGTTGATTTGTATAAAGAAAACATCTGAAGCCAGGCACAGTAGTGCACACCTTTATTCTCAGCACCCAGGAGGCAGAGGCAGGTGGATCTCTGAATTCAAGGCCAGCCTGGTCTACACAGTGAATTCCAGGACAAGCAGATGTTTTTTTATCTTTTATATAAAATTCCAGTTTTTATACAATTTAATACCAACTTTAGATGATTTCCTGTAACAAAAATGTAAAACTTTTAAATTATGTTTCTTGCTTTGCAAAGCTCAAAGATTAATAAACAACAACAAAGTTCTCTAACCCAAAGTGTGCCACCCAAGCAGAGACTCAAATAGTCCTTTTCCCTCGGAATTCCTTAAACAAAAACAGTTCAATATACAAGTGAGCCACTCAGAAGCAGCAGCCCTGACCTAAAGTTCACGTTTGCCACAAGTACCTCTACTCACATGGACTATAAAAACTGGAATCTTAAAGTTTCTATGTTAAAAAAAAAAAAAAAAAAAACATAAAAAAAAAATCTGCTTCCTCTCATGGTCCAATACAGTACTAGAAGGTTTTCAGATGTTTTCCTTACAAAAATCAACACCAAAAATAAATCTTAGCTTTATTTTCAGAAGCACTGAAGTTTGCTTTTGATGATGTTTCATTTCACCTATTCCTGTTTCCACAGAATGGCGCTCTTTAAAAAAAAAAAAAAAAAAAAAAAAAAAAAAAAAATCCATACATTATTTGGTCCTTTGGCAATTTGGTGTGTACATAATGCCTACCATACCAAACTTTTATTGCATTTAAATTTATCTGTAATTTTATGGGTAAAATTTAACCTAGTGTCTTTATCTCCTTTTATAGCAGTGCTGCCTGTGTAAGCAGATCAGGGGCAGTGTCCCAAATGTCTGGCACTGCAAAGCCAATTAAACAATCAACATCAATGCATTTTCCATTGGTCAAGTCATTATTAAGATTCTAGAGGTTCCTTTTGCAAAACTTGCCTTTAAGATTCTTCCTCCTAATGTCATCACATTTCTTCTATGCGTTCACGCGTGATCTTTCTTTAGGATGAATTTGTATATGAGTAAGAAAAGTGCTTTTTTCCTGAAAAAGCCCGGTTTAGTTTCAGTGTCAGAACTTCCTTAGACCTCTAACTCAGCCTTTCAGTAGGTCTCAGAATCAGAGTCGTTGAGCTCGTCCACATCAGTGTACAAATACTCTTGTTCCCCACCAATGTTGTTGAAACTGCAATAGGAGCTAGGTTCATTCCTCATGATAGGCAAGGCTTCAAAGCTAACAGTTTTTGAGGTGTTGGTATAACGGTTAATGGCATTGAATGTCAAGGATGACAATGGGCTACTTGACGAGACAGGCATCATGGTGGCCAAAATGAGAGCCAGGCAGTCAGCGACATCCTTATTGGGAGCACAGGCCAAAGCTGGGGTATAGCCTAGGATTCAATTTAAAAATGTAAAAATCAATATCCTAAGATCTATGAAACATGTCTAAAAGTCTTTAACTTAACATTGATTCTATGGCTTATAACAAATTCTTCCAACAGACTGATTTACAGCTTTCTAGTAAGCAGAAAGAGACACAATCATAAAACAGGATAATAATTCTGTTGATGAAGGCTCCCATTGGTGACCTAGTTATCCTCTAACACCCTTGGACAACATGTTTCATACATAGTAATGTGGCTTTAGTTCACAAGTTAAATGCCAATCTCATTTTATGATTGTGTGTAGTAAAAGTTGTAAATCAGTCTAGTAACAACAAATTGATGATAATTATGTTCTGAAAACTAAATAAAATCAAGGTGAAGGGGCCAGTATATTCTGTGCCTTTGTTTACTCCCAAGAATGGGATTAGTGGTATTGAGGTAGGTTTTCTGAAGAAGGAACATGTCACACATTTGTAGAATGTTCTCAAGTTTCTCAGGTAACCATACCAGCAAATGTAGAAGAGAGAGAGGCTTCTGTTTTCTGAAGCCTACAAACAATGATGAGAGATGTGTTCCCACTAATTCAGGGCATCATGTCCTATCTATGATTTAGCTCTGCTTTGCATCAGGGTAACAATAGCTGGCACCTTCACATTTTAAGAAGAGCATTAAAAATATGTGAGAATAAAGCACTTGCTCACACATTTTGAGAAAGTAATTTAATTAAAACATGCACATCCTTTTTCTTTCTTTCTTCTTTTGAGACAGGGTTTCTCTATGTAGTCCTGGATTAATTCAACCTATATATTTCAAAAATGCCTTGGCTTCAAACTTTAAGTCAAAAGATACCTTATTTTGGAGAAGAGGTTATGCTTTTGTTTCCACAGGAAACGAGAGGCTGTGGATTCATTCTGGGTTAAGGTTTGATGGAGGAAGACCCCTGAAAAATCTGATGGGAACAGATGACCCAGATGTTACAATGTTTCAGAGCACCTCTGTTGCAGTTTCCTCTGAGTATTTGTATTTGCTTTGGACTTTTTTTTTTCTGTCTTATTGTTCTTTTGCTTACTTATTTTGATTTCCATTTTTTTTTTTTGTGTGTGTGTGTGTTTTTGTGTGTCTTTTCTGTTTATTTTTAAGGACACAGGGGAGAAGGTGGAAAGGAAGAGAGGGAGAAGAGAGGAAGGAAGAGAGGAAGGAAGAAAGAGAGGGAAAAGGGAGAGAGGGAGGGAAGGAGGGAGGAGAGAACAAGAACCTTGATGAGAAGAGTTCTACAATGTGGTGGGGACAAAGGATGTCTATAGAAGTCAATCCTTGAGTAGCTCTGCTGCACTGGAAGACAGAAATACAGTGGCAGCTGGAAGAAGTTGTGAGACTGATTGCTGAGGTACAAAACTAAGATCTTTCTGTCAATTGGGGAGGCAGGGGTGCAGCTCAGTGGTAGAATACTTGTAGAATATGCACAGGCCCTGGATTTGATTCCAGCACCACAAACACATAAAGTGATATACTGATAGGGAGTAATTGTTAAAGGCATAGTCTCTAATAGGAAAAAGGTTACAGAACCTAATTTAGGAGTAGAAGGACTGACTGGCTTTGTCTAAGAATACGTTTTAGTGAGGCCTTGGTAAATATTTGTTGAAAGAAAAAAGTCTTTGGCTACCAAAATAACAGTGATAACCAAATAGCAAACATCAAATTTGGTTTAGTACAAGATACATGAATTCAGAAGTATTAATTTCAGCACTCTTCTTTGCCCAATAAAAAAGCACCAAACTTCATTTTACTTCAATGATGAACCATCACGAGAAAAACTTCTACCAAGAAGTTGGCCAAGGGAAGGGCACATGGAGCTTACTTACCATTTTCATCAACAGCAAGTACACTTGCTCCTTTTCCCAGAAGCTCTTGAACAACCATTGTTAGCCCATTTCGGGCAGCAACATGCAGAGGCCTGTGGGGGGAAATTATACATATATGCACAGTGAATGGACAGACACACTCCTGGCTGCAAAGAGCATCTGGTCAAGTTTTGAAGACCTAGAGATAAGAATTTGTAATTGGGCATTGGTAGCACACGCCTTTAATCCCAGCGCTTGGGGAGGGGGAGGGGGCAGAGGCAGGCAGATCTCTGTGAGTTCAAGGCCAGCCTGAACTACAGAGCTAGTTCCAGAATAGGTTCCAAAGCAATGCAGAGAAAACCTGTCTTGGAGAAAAAAAAGAAAAAAAAAAAAAAAAAGTGCCCCACATGTACCAACGCTTCTCAGTACCACCACTCTCATCTCCATACTGCCCATCCTGCTTTCTCTGTTGTCTGGTTGTCGACTCCAAAGTTCTCTCTCTGCTGGTAAATCCCTCATATACTCTCCTGCCTAGCTATTGGCCATTGTGCTTAAAAAAAAAAAAAAAAAAAAAACACCAATCACGGCACTACATATTCACAGTGTACAAAATATCCCACAACATTAAGACATCCAGTTCTCAATCAATGAAGATGAGAGAGGCAGCAGTGCCTTCATAGAAAGCTCAGCCTTAGACGTCAGTAGTAGTTTCCTAACCTCACTGAACCCTTTGTACCTTCTAAGAGTCCATATTTAAAGAGTTAACCAAACGAACTATATTCTTTTTTAAAATTTCTTGTACTTTTGAGGTTTTAATATAATTATATCATTTCCCCTTCCCTTTCCTTCCTCTAAACCCTCCCATATAGTCCTTTTTGCTTTTTCAAATTCATGGCCTCTTTTGTCATTGTTATTCCATGCTTATAAATGCATATTTCTAAATATAACCTGTTCAGTCTGTATCATGCTACTTGTATATATTGCATGCATATTTTCTGGCCAACCACTGGTATTAGATTAGTGTACTCTTCCTGGGAAAAGACTATTTCTTGCTCTCAGCATTCCTTAGATGCCAGTAGTTCTTTGTGAAGGGTTGAGAACTCCTGGGTTTTTCCTAGTCCACTCCACCATGGCTATTGTTGTCCTTATTTGGGTCATGTTTAGGCAGTCATGTTGTCAAGACTTTATGATCTTACCAGAAGACAAAGTCTCACAAAAAATTCCCATCTTTTGGTTCCCTCTTCCACAATGTTCCCTGAGTCTTAGATATAAGTTGATATCCACTAGGAATGGGCGAATTACAAGATTAACTTAGTAAGAAATGAAGTTAACAAATACATAATAAAAAGCTATAAACTATCATACCATAAATTCTAATAATCTTTGAAAGATGTTTATTGGCCTATTGACTAATATTTGGGCCTTTGAGGGATTTGACTGAATCTAGAATGTGAACTATTTCAAGCATTTTTTTCGTTTTATAAGACCAATGGAAACTAGAAGATGAAGATGGGAGACATGGACCTAAGATCTGTCAGTCAAACTCAAAGTTTACTGCTTATACTAAGAGAGCAATTCTTTCTGAAACCTCTTTAAGCTTATATAAACACACACACACACAGCTTCTTACCTCATTTATTGCTAGTATAAAATGTATGAAATGGCATGTTTCAGTTGATTTTTATAATACACAAAATAGCACTACTTTCCTTTAGAAAATAATATAAGTAAACAGAAAAAAATTCAAAGTTGTAAAAAGTTTCAGTTCACAACCTTTTAAAGTAATAGAGCTTTCAGTTATGAGTTCAGAAGTGAGTTATTATTTAAAAAGTCTGTAACTGTTCTAGATTACTGGTCACATTTTAAAAAGTGCATTTATCTGTTTTTAGAATTGTAGACATGACTAAATTACCCAGATTCTCAAAATACTTACGTTTGCAAGGCTGCATTGGTTGCATTGATGAGGTTTCTATCTGTTATCTTTTCCAGTATTAACAAGGCACTAGTTTCATGACCCTAAAATTGTGACAAATAGCTCTTAAAAAACAGCACCCAATTAAGAATAAACATATAAACTCAATCATCTCTAATATATGTACAAAATTGTATGCATCACAATCTTTCTAAGTTAATGTCTGAAATATTTATTAGAAATGGGAATAAGACAGGTTAATAATAGTTAAGTGTTAAGCTTGTGTTTTACAACCTAGTATGCCAACACCTCCCACCCCCATCCCTACCCAAGAAACTCAGTGTTAGTAATCATTAGATTTGGTCTGACCTCTATTCATTTTACTGAACTGGAAAAACTTAATTTCAATAGTAGCCATGAAAATACATCCTTAAAGTATATGTATATATATATATATATACCTTGCCGCAAGCCAAGTGAAGGGCGGTGTTTTTACTCTTATCTTGTAAAGTCAGATCTGCACTAGCACTGCTAACCAGCATCTCTGGGAGGGAAAAGTTCATCAATTATTATGTTTATGAACATTTTTCCTAGACTACCAATAACTCAGTATAAAGAAATAAATACATACAGCAAAAAAAAAAACCTTTTGAAAATAATTACAAAAAAAACCACTATAATACATAACAAACATCACATTACCCTATGATTATAAGAAACTTTTATGTTCTTGTGCAAATCAGATGGTAGCAACAATAATTAATATTTTAGGGTTAATAAATTTCATAGTGTTATATGCCCTGGATTTATAGGTTATATTTAAACCTCACACCAATATTTTGGTAGATGCTATCATTTTTCTCATTTCACAAGTGAAAGAAATGAGGAGGAGGTCACTTAAGATCTAGGACTCACACTCATGCAATCTGATTCCAGAGCCAGTGTTGTTACACCATGAGGTTAAAGCACCTTGATAAAGAAAACTTTTCAGTCAATAAAGGCAATGCTCCAAAATGAAAATATGGAATGGTGAGATAATTCAAGGAAGTCAGAAGGGCTGGGAATCTAAGTTACACACACAGAATAAAAAAAAAAAATAAAGCAACATAGCTTGTGCTTTACTACTTAGCCCAATTTCTCTTTTCTTATGGAGACACTATGTAGCCAAGGCTGACCTCATACTTGAGGCAGTCCTACTGCCTCAGCCTTCCCTAAACATTTTCTTTACCAACTGTATTGGTTTGTCCGTTCTCTGCAGCCATCATGAGGGGTGTTTTTCCACTAGAATCCACGGAATTGACTTGAGCATTATGGCTGAGCAGCAGCTGTAAACACTCTACATGGTCTGTGAAGGCAGCAGCATGGAGAGGAGTTCTGGGACACAGTGAAAATACAGAACAAAAGTTGAATGACACATACACTGGGAAAATTACTCCTTAATTTAGGGCAAAAAAAATTTCAAAGGTTTACATATTAGGTTATAAAAGTATTGCTAAGATACAAATCTCAATGGAACTCACAAATTTCTACTTTAGATATGTATACTTTATACAATCTAACTTAAACTACAATGCCTAATATAAGGATGAATTATAAAATACTATTAAAATACACTATATTGTTAAAGCAAACTTAAAACTTTACTCGCAAACTACTACTTATTACAATGGTTAGACTCTTCTTTAAGTCTTTAATCCAATTTAGAAAATAACTTTTTAAGCAATTTTCTTTGGGTTTAAAAATCATACTTTTTAAATTTTTAAATTAGGAATGTTTGTATTTTAAAATAAAATGACAAAAGAAAAAAAAAGAAATGCCCTATTAATGCAGAGAACTTAAGATTTTATAATAATTTACAATATCCGCAAAATTCTGTTTTCAGTTAGTTTTGAGTTCTCTGTAAGCACCCAAATAAAAGGTCAATAGTTAACAGTGTTTTCCTACCTTCCCTTTGAATCTGTGGCATTTACAATGCTGGCTCCTAAGGTATCGATAAGCATCTCAGCAGCACCTTCATTGTCATTGATCCTAGACAAGGTACAAGGTGATCAGTCTCAGAGTAATAGTGCTAAACACCCCAGGAAATTTGACTCACTATGTATGACTTTACTTACACAGCACAATGCAACGGACTGAAAGCATTTCCATCTATTTTCTGGAAAACATCCTGTTCTAACAGTAGTTCCACACACGTCTCATGACCTAATGGGAGCATAAGAACTAGATATTAAAATAGAAGAGATATACTTGCAACAATCTCAAATACACAGAAGTTTCTAGAAAGAGAACATGTAAAAACCCAGCTCCATCCCATCTCCACACTTTAAATCATAACCAGTGATCTCAATAGCTCTACAAAGTGCCTGCATACACGTATTTTTTCTTTTTACTCTTCAAATGGTATAGTTTGTTCTGTAACTTTCCTTTTCAATTAATAAACTGTACCATCTTTCTATAATAACAAGCACAGGATAATTTCTTAAAACACAGTATTGTGAAAAAGAAGAACTACACTGACTGCTGGGAGACGTAGGTAGATAGCTTTTTTAAAAAAAGCAAATTTAAAACAGAAACAAAAGAAAACACCCAACAATAAGTAAAAATAATAAATCCCAACCAAAACTTCAGATTTTGTTAGCCTAGGAGTTGGTTCCCAGGAAGCAAATTCAGGCTGTCAGGCTTAGTGGCAAGCATCTTTACTTGCTGTGAGACATGTTCAGGTCCCTCAAAAAGTTGCTCTTGTAAAGACTTTTAAACTTCTCGGGTCCCACTGACAATGCAATTATTATCAGTAGCTGTAACCCACAAGCCCTGAGACCAAGGGTTACAGACCCAATATCTGAGTTGGGTATGGAGTACTTATCTGCTATCTCCAGAGACCAGCACTGGGAAGAACTAAGGTGACAATCTCAGCATTTCTCTTAATATTTCAGAAACTTCTTTCTTTCTTTTTTGATTTTTGAGACAGGGTTTCATTGTGTAGCCCTGGCTGTCCTAGCTCTGTAGACCAGGCTGTCCTTAAACAGAGAGCCCCATTGCCTCAAGTGCTGGGTTTAAAGTTGTGCGTCACCACTGCCCAGCTCTGAAAGCTATTTCTGAGGATGCTTAAGGATGTCAAGAAAAGTTAATTAGCTTCTAAAAGGAATAAATGACATAATAAAAATACTCAAAATTATACAAGAAAATGACTCTATAATTTGAAATTCTGAACTTTAAAATTAGTTAAGTACAGAGCCAGTTCTTTTCTAAAAACTAGTCATCATTTCATTTTGAGAGAAAAGTTATTTTGATTTAATTAGAAAAATTCCATTTCTTAAAAATTTATGTGCATTGGTGGTTTGCCTGCACATATATCCTTGAGGGTGTCAGGTATCCTGGAATTGGAGTTACAGACAGTTGTGAGCTGCCATGTGGGTGCTGGGAATTGAACCCAGGTCCTCTGGAAGAATAGCCAGTCCTCTTAATTGCTGAGCCATCTCTCCAGCCCCTGAGTACTTCTATTTTTTTTTTTTTTTTTGTACAAAAGTTATTAATCAGAATAAAGCCATTTAATACATTCCACAAATTATAAAGCAGCCATTTGGCTAAAAATATGGCATTAATTTAATTTTAGACTGTAAGGTCTTTTATTGTATAAACTAACATATATTTCTTCCAGCTCAATTCTGACACTACAATTTTGCTTCTCTGAAAAAAAAATCAGACACACCTGTTTGTTCATTTGTTTGTTTAATGGCAACCAGGCATGCTCTTTGTGTAAATTCTGTTTCTTGTACAAAATGTACAAGATAAGAATTTTTTTCTTTTGAGACAGGATTTCTCTGTGTAACAGCACTGGCTGTCCTGAACTTGCTTTGTAAGACCAGGCTGTCCTCAAACTCACAGAGATCCACCTGCCTGCCTCTGCCTTTCAAATGCTGGGATTAAAGGTGTGCTCCACCATGGCCCGGCAAGGTAAGAAATGTGATGAAAGTGAACCTCCAAAAGACAAGTGAATGCTCTACCTTAGGAAATACACTTCTGTGTGACATGGTTTTTAATGGTTGTCATTGATAACATTTAAAAAAATCAGCCAATAAAAATTTTTGCCTTCACCAGGTTTTTATCTGATACTTAACCATTGTAGCAAGCCCAGTGAAGTGCTGTATACCCATGATTGTCTACTATGGCTGGATTTGCATCCATGGATGCTGCTGACTGCAAAAGGGCTCCAAGAACTCCAATGTGTCCACAGGCAGCTGACAAGTGTATAGGTGTCCGACCCCTGCTGTCCCGCAGTAAGCACTTAGCACCATGTTGAAGTAATGCATCTACACATTCTTCATGGCCTGTAACTGCCTGTAAAAATAATTTGGGTGCATTAAATCCATTATGTGGGGCACCATGGACCATCTTTAGTTAATTTAATTTTGGCTTACCCCTCTATGCAATGCTGTCCTTCCCCACTTATCTTTGGCATCTACATTTGCTCCTTTGTTCAGTAGTGAGTATACACAATCCGTGTGTCCATTGAGAACAGACAGCATAAGAGGTGTCCTGAATAGTAACAGAATTAAGTTTAGTGCTATCACTTACAAAACTCTATAAAACAACAATGATGTGATGGCTTATTTTCTATACATACACTTGTGATGCAACTTTGTTATGTATTTAAAAGAAAAACATACATACACACACACACACACACACACACAGTATTTTTCAGTTGCAACCTATGGCAAGTTTACTAAAATAGGGACAAAGTTTTAGAATATTTAATATTTTAACATCAATGTAAAGGCAAAGTCTAGTGGCAAATGCCTATAATTCCAATACTAAAAAGGGTGAAGTAGTAAGATTGTAGAATGGAGACTTGCCTGGGTTATATAATGAGATGTCTTTAAAAAAAAAAAAAGGTTAATTTAAAAATTATTAGAACTTACTGTCCATTTCCATCTTGAATATCTACTGCATTCTGTGGTTCTGCATTTCCTATTAATAATCGTAAGCATTCCGAATGACCATTTGTTGCTGTAAAGTAGTAATAATAATAATTTTAATATACACAATTAAAACAAAAATATCTTAGAGTAATCACATCTTTTATAATACAATTTTAGGACAATTTCACTGAATTCAATAAGCAGAAGAATTACTGCATGTACAAAGTAGGTTTTGCCCTGTTTCTGTTGTTAAGGGGCTCATAGATTCACACAGTAAGCAGAATGCATGTTGCCATCTATCCTTTCATCATCTCTCATGATAAAAGCATCCTCATTTTATTTAGTGTGCCACTAGGAGGAGTGACCTGTCTCCAGTTCAAGGGTCCAATCAAGTCAACCATGTTAGACTATGTCAGTCACAGACCAAGGCAATCATATTAATCTTATTTTCCTTTGACAGAGATTTGATGCTTGTTGAGTACAAGGTCCAGAGCCAATCAGTGAGATATTGAGAAGTCTAGGGAGCTTTTGGCAAATGATTTTAATTCGGATAATGAAAAGCCTTCTTTCTAAAATCCCAGTTGTGGATGTGACCCTATAAAGCAGCAGCAACCATCCTGTGACATAAATGCAAAACAAGAAGCAATAAAGAATCTGGTGAGTGCTCATTGACCCTGTGGGACTGTACCACACTTTAACAGGGGTGTTACTAAACCCACCAATTTAGGACACATTTGCTTGGGTGATTTATAGCTGAAAAGAATTCGAGATGGCACACACATAAAAAATGACATATATCTTACAAAGAAATGTTATTATAAGCCCAAAAGCCTTACTGGCAAACAGAAAAACAACCCCTCCTCCCATCTCAATAGGAGCTTTCAAAATATATCTCCTTCAAAATTCAGGTCCTAACTAATAAACTTGAAGTTATATGGAAATATGTAAGTGATGATATGGTACAGAAAGGAAAGCCTTCCCCTATTTCTAAGTCAAAAAAAAAAAAAAAAAAAAAGGGGGGGGGGATTAATGACGGAAAACTAGATGCCTAATTTTCTATAGTACTTTATTCTCTCTCTCTCTCTCTCTCTCTCTTTTTTTTTTTTTTTGAGACAAGATCTCATGTAGCCTAAGCAAGCCTCAAATTCATTGTTTATCAAAGAATGGCCCTGAATTCCTGATCTTTTTACTTCTACCTAAGTTCTGAGATACCTTTTTATACGGATCTGGGGATCTGGGGATGGAAATTCTGACCTTTTTGCTGAGGTTATAAGCATGCACTACCATTCCCTTTTTCATGTGGTACTGGAGCTGATGCCAGGGCTTCACAGATGCTAGGCATGCATTCTACTAGCTGAGCCAGCTCAGCCCAAGTCTTTCTACAGTACCTTTTTGTTTTTCAAGATGGATTTCTCTGTGTAACAGTCCTGGCTGTCCTGGAACTTACACTATAGACCAGGCTGGCCTCCAATGAGCTCTGCCTGCCTCTGCCTCCCAAGTGCTGGGATTAAAGGTGTACACCACAACCTTTCTATAGTACTTTTTAACCGTTGTATGAAATTCTAATAAGTTATAAAACTTTTTAACTCAAAACCACCCTCACTCAATACATATGTTGTTGCATTCTGGGAACAACGCTTAGCTTAGTAGTAAACAACTGTCAAAATACTTGGGGATAGTTCAAAGAGATCTACTCTGGCCTATTATTAGAAAGGTAATTAATTTTCATTCGGTACAAAGCATATACTGTGAAGATTTTGTGTTTCTAAGTTCAATAACCACAATACCACCATAGTATCATTTTGAGAAAAGAATGTTAACCTTCAGGGAGGTGGGCGAGGGGGAGGGACCTGTGCTTTTCCCATAACATAAAAGTAGTAAGATACTTCCTAAGAGAGCTCTGAATGTAAAAGATGTCTACAGAACCGTTTTTTTGGTTTTGTTTTTTTGTTTTTTTTTTGGGTGTGTGTGTGTGTGTGTGTGTGTGTGTGTGTGTGTGTGTGTGTGTTTTCTTCTCTCCTTTCTGATGGGTAGCACTTATGGTACATTATATGGCAGAGTGCCTCAGAGCTCTTTATCTTTCAAGAAGCATATGAATTAGACTGGTGGTTGCCTATACTCACTCCTAGCACTTGAGAGGAGGCTGGATACAGGAAAACTATATGAAGCAGTCATGGGCTATATACAGCAGAGTGCCCAAGTCAGTTTAGGGTGATGTCTTTAAAAAAAAGAGGAAGTAACAGTGATAACAAATACTCCACTTAAAGCTTAAAACTGGTTCTGTAAAATAATCTGTGGTTACAATATAATTTTGTAGACACAGATTTATGACTCTACTCACTTTTTCCTTCAAGATAAGGTTTCTCTGTGTAGCTGTGACTGTCCTGGAACTTGCTCTATAGACCAGGTTGGCCTCAGAGAGATCCTCCTGCCTCTGCCTCCCCTGGAATTAAAGGTGTGTGCCACCCCCCCCCCCCGGCTGATTCCACTCTTATAGAAAATAACTTCTAATTCATACTACTTGATAATTTCTACAAACATCTTTATTCAAGAATTTAAATGCTCATTAAAATATTTGTCCCTCAGCCTTGCCTGAATATCCAATAGTTTTTAAAAGCTGCTCTGGGAACAGAAGTGAGTGTTTTTTATATTTCTTCTAAATGTATCTTTCCCCAAACAATACAAGTCCAATCAAGTTATATATTTGAATGGGTTCTTAAGGATCATCCCATAAACACAAAAGTGAACTGAATCAGATCACGTAAGATTGGAACTAATAAAAACACTTGACCACTATTTTTCAATTGTACCAGTCTTAATGACTGTGAGTACTGAGCCTTATAGCAATTTTTATAAAGAATTGGGAAATTTGTGACTTCTATTGATATACTGCTGGTAATAAGTCATTTCTATGACTGTTCCCTTCCCCCTTGCCAGTCTTTTCCTACATACCAATAACTTAGTTATACATTCCTGCATTTTTTAGTACATTGGCAAAATTATGAAACTACTACTTGGCTTAGCTTTTACAGAAGTTAAAATTCTAAATTTTTTCTAAGTGTTTGATGCAGTACAACAGTAAAATAAGTAAAAATGACTTTTAGACTGGAAAGATGGCTCAGTAACTAAGAGAGCTTCTGCTTTTATAAAGAACCTAGGTTTGATTCATAACACCAACATGATGGCTAACAATCATCCACAAGTCCAGTTCGGGGGCGGGGGGGTTGGACATCTTTCTGGCACATATGTAGCACATACATATATATGCAGGTAAAACACTCATACACATGAAATTCAAATAAGTCTTAAAAATAAAAAGATTTATTTTTAAAACATTAATGGTTGCTATGAAAGTACATGTTAACCTAAACTTCCATTCAAAAGAAGTAAAACATACTTGGGAGGTAGAAGCAGGTGAATTCAAGGCCGGCCTGGTTTACAGAGCTAGTTCCAGAACAGCTAGGGCTATACAAAGAAACCCTGTCTCAAACACAAAACAAACAAACAAACAAAAAACCCAAAATAAAACAAATAAAAAGAAGTAAAAGAACACTGAACTATGGTGATAATCTAAATATTTTATTTCATGAACCCAATTCTAAAGGCATATGATTTCTTTTAAAATATTGCCTTTCCTTCAAAATACAATCATTTGACTACTTAACATAAAAATTAAATACAATTACCAGTAGTAGTATGAAAACGTACATTAAGATTATAAACGACATTTGGCATACCTGCTGCATGGATAGGTGTTCTCTTCAAAATGTAATCTTTTACGAGGATTGAAGCTCCCTGATTAATGAGTACATCCACACATTCAACATGGCCCTTAAATGCAGCAAGATCCAAGGGTGTTCTACCACTACTATTTCTTACATCAAGATCTAACAAAGACTGTACCAACACTTCCAGGGCTTGGTGATGACCATGATAGGCCTAGAAATAAAAATACATGTAAATTAAAAAAAAAATGCATATTTGACTGACTCCCCAAGTAGGTTTCTCTTTTTCTTGTGGTTCCAGGAATGGAAATTGCCAAGTAAGTAAGAGTAAGCAAGCTTTACCACTGAGTTAAATGAACAATACCCCACTACTTTGGAAATTGTAAAGTAAGCAAATTCAGTTTTTTACTGTTATATACATCTGAGATAATAACAATTTTTATACTGAGAAGACAGAAAGTTTTAATCATAGACATTTTTTCTTTGTAACAATCACCAACACTCCAATGACATCAGAAAGTGCGTGTGGCATGGCATCACTGGAAACTCTGGCTGTAAGGGAATAATATGGATGCTTTCCAGACAGCTCAGCTTAGAATCCAGACAGCAATGGCACATACACTTACACTGGACTACACGCTGCACAGGGAGGGAATAAAGCAATAAGCATCAAAGGATGATAAAGCAGTATTTCTTGTGCAAAAGGTTCACAAGATGAGCTGGTAAAATGGCTCAGTGTGTAACAGCACTTGTTATGCAACCTGGTGACTTAAAATACATTTAGGTGATGGACTGAAAATGGGGTTCAGAGTGTTCAGGGTGTCCACTCTAAAAGAAGGGAAAATAAGAGAAAGGTTGGCTTTGCTGATGTCTGTATTGGAAGTTTAATTATCTACAAGTTAAGGATAAAGTGAGTATAGACAAGAGAATTCTAATTTTAGGATCACACCCAATTTTATTTGGCAATATTAAGTGGAGGAACTCATGCTACTCCAAGAATGAGCTTTGAAGAATCTCATGGGACATACAGAAGCCAATATTTAGAAAAAATAAAGAGGAGAGAAAAAGAAGACTAAAAATTATGATGCTTTGTTAAAAGGCTCTTCTTCTCATCACTTCCTGTATAGGACTAAAGGAAAAAAAATCTATGTCTAGCAACAACATTAGGAAGAAAAAATACTTCCTTTAAAAAGCCTCACTCCAGTATTCCACTGTATCAGGCTGTCTGAAAACGTGAGTTTAAAATAATAAGAAAAAAACATTTCAACTAAATTTCTGAAAGGCTCTTAGGATTGGATATAAAAAGCTAAAATTGCAATATAATCAATTTCACTGAATTTAATCATTAAATTGCAAAACTATGTTCATTTCAGTTTAGAAAAACTGACACAGCAGCACTTACATAGCTAAGAGATGAAGCAACAGGAAATGCCCTTTGAAAACTGATTCAATACAAACTGCAGTGTGCACACATGCAAGCTCAAAAGTAAAGGAACAGCATAAGGATGAACTTTGGGGAAGTATGTTAAGTGAAATCAGACACTCAGAGAAAGACTATATAATTTCATTTTAATGTGGCATACAGGTTAGTCACATTCATGAAAATAGCTAGAGGGAGTGGAAATACACAGCTATTGTTCTAACAAATTTATAGTTTCAATTCTTAAGACACAAAAGTTCTAGAGATCTAACACTATTGAACAGTACTCTAAGAGCTTAAGAAAGTACATTTCAATTGGTATACATGGCTGTAATTGGAGCACATGAGAGGCTAAAATAAGGAACTGTGAGCTTAAGGCTAGCCTAGGCTTCAAAGCAAGACCCTGTGAGTAAGAAAGGAAAAGGAGGGAGTGAAGAACTTGTCAAATTGGGGAGCAGAAAAGTAACATCAGTTAAGTTAATAAGATAGTTCTATGACAGACTGCAAGACTTTCGAAAACCACTAAGTCAAGGAGGCTGGGAAATACTAAGTAAAACCCATCTTAGCTCTTCTGTACTGAAAGAATTTAGTTTTTAAACAGATCTGGGTAGAGGACTTTGATCAACAAGAGACCAGAATACATCCCTTGCTATTTATGTGACCTCTGGTGTTAAGAAAAGTAATTCAGTTAACATAATAACTAAAAGTTCAGTAATCCATTTATTTCTTTTTCATGTATTCTCCTTGCATGTGGTCAAACACTGACATAATGAATCAATCTTTTTCCTCTTGCTCCTCCTTGTTTTAGTGACTGGTATGCAGAGGAATCTGAAAATGAATGGAAATTATACAGCATGTACTCAAACTCTGTAACAATGAACAGGCAAAACAGCACTGACTCTATAATTAGCCAGCACCCATGGCCACGAGCAAGCCAACAATAGATGGAATTTACAAAAATTGTGTGGTGTATACAATCTGCTTACCAATTACAGTCCTTCTATTAGGGCAGCACATTTTAAGTTCATGTTAGAGTCAGATTCTCTCACTTACAAGCAGGGTTTGAGGGAGTCAAGGACTACCACTTAAAGGAAAGTGATTAGCAGATAGCCAAGGATGCACTAGAAAATTTTCTGGATTAAACAAGTTCTTAAAGTTTTAATTCATGATAATTACTATAACAATCAAATAAATGTCTAGGGTACTAGCTTGAGTCAACATAAGAGATCTGTAGTGAACCAGTACTGGCTTTGAAGGCAGTACTTACAGCCAAATGTAAAGGGCTTATTGTTGCTCTATTATCTGAATCACTCAGCATGTCTGTTCCCGACGTTTCCATTAACTGAAAAAAGGAGAGGTGTTAAAAAAATTGTTAGAAAGGATACTTTTAAATTAGTAGTGATCTCTCCACCCCTCACTTCATCTTAGATTATGGCAATAACTCAGCAAGCTCAAAGAACAGGATAAAAACAAAAGTATAATAAGAATCACTGACTACCAGACATTTAGGAAAACATTCTTCTATCAGGTAAATACCTCCCATTCCTGAACAGTCTTGTCACTTTGGTCTCAGGAATATTATGTAAAAACATGTTTAACCCTAGTTCTAGTGAGAATAAAGAAATACACTATTTTGAATGTTTGGGGGGAATCAATTAATACTTACAACATCCAAAGGAGTTTCACTTGCAATCTGAAATAAAATTGTACAAAGTTACTCATAAGCATTGATATATCAGACATCAATAAATGATATAGGGCTTTGTTAAGTTTCTGTTTTAAACCCATGTTTTCTCTACCTCCAGAAACGAAGTCTTTTATACAGATTAGTAGACAACTCATCTAGATACAAAGTCTAAAATTTTATTCTAAAGGTATCATAGTAACCTATGAAATTATGCATTATTTTTATAGTAGCACAGTAAATGGTATATTAAATATATTGACCTTCTTATATACCTCCCCTGAGTTTTATTTCCTATTGAAGGGAAACAATGTTTAATGTCCATGTATATAAATGAAGCTTTAACCAGAACAAGCTGTCACACAGGAGTGTATTTTAATTCATTCCTTCCCTTTCAGTTTGGCAAAGTAAATTTCTGAATAGTATGCACATTATAGGACAAGAACACAGTTTAAATTTAAGCTTCTTTGTAGAAGCAGCTTATCCTTTATTAAGAACTGGGCAATAAAAGGACCTTGAAGAGTTCTCTAAACATATGAGGAAAATAGCTTGAGGCTAGCCTTGCTATGTGTGACTGTCTCAAGAAACACACAATTTTAGGACCCTTTTCAGAGATTTATCTGTTGTTTGTTTTTGAAGAATCATCTCACTATGTTGTCCTAGACTCAAGACAGTGTCCTTCCTCGGCTTTCCTAGTAGGACTGCAGGGATGCACCACTGTGTCTGATTTCCCCTTCACATAGACAAATCTCACCGTAGCCCAGAGGCTTACAATATTCCTGCCTGCTTCTCAAGGACTAGGATTATAAGTATTTGCTACCACACTGGGGTCAGTGATTTTAATCTTTGTTCCTTTTCCAAAAGGAAAATAGAGAATGAGAGATATCTTACAGAAGAAGCAACAAGAATTTAAGAGGTAAATGGATTGTGAAAATGTTAAAGAACAAAACTAAATGTTTCCTGGACCATTTAGTCTCATTTAGTTATATCTAAACTAAAAACTCACACTAGTCCTGTCATGAGAATTCAGAAATCTTACCAGTTGAAGACACAGACGGTGACCATATGCAGCTGAGTAATGAACTGCATTGTATCCTTGCTTGTCCCGAATCCCAGGATTTGCATCATTTCTTAGTAAGTATTCCAGGCACCTATATACAATAACAGCAACATGAAAATTCAAAATTTTACTTTTAATTCCTTTATGTCACTGTGACTTGTTTGCTAAAGAAACTGTCTGACCTAAGCTAGGCAGGATAAGGCTAAGCAGGAGAACCAGACTAAGAGAATACTGGGAAGAAGGAGGAGGAACATCTCAAGGAGTTGCAAGGGGACGCCATGAGAGACTAGAGGCAGAACAACCAGGATGGGAAATATGTTCATGAAGTAAATGAGCCTTTGGGCAGCACACTGATTAATAGATGAGTTAATTTAAGTTATAAACCTTGAGTTATTCACAGAGGAAGGGCCTAGGCCTTGTCCCAAATGACTTGACAGATTTTGATGATCCCCTATGGAAGGCCTCCCTGGGGAGTGTATGGGGGATGGAATGGGGGGGGATCAGTGGGGATCATGGGAGAATGGGAGGGGGGGAGATGGAACTGGGATCGATATGTAAAATAAGATTGTTTCTAATTTAAAAGAAAATAAAATATTTGCCACCCCCCCCAGCAAAAAGGAAAAACAAAAAACAAAAAACAAAACAAAAAAAGAATAGCCATTTGGAATGAAAGCTGGAGCTTCACGTTGGATTTTATACTTTTAGCATTGAATATATTTTTATACACTTATCTACCTACATTTATTTACTTATTTGGGATGAGAATTCCCCACATAGATTTGACTATCCTGGAATTCTCTATGCAGACCAGGCTAGTCTGATCTTATAGATCTTCCTGTCTTTGCCTCCTACCACATCTATATTTTAAACCAACTATATTTCAAACAAATGACTAAATACTGGTAACTGTTCTCTTGCATAGTTTTTAATGCATGATTACATAATGTAAGTATTATATCCAAGATGTAATTGCTTATGTTTTTTGCTAATTTTGTCAGGCTTTTAATATAAAAGGGCTTGTTTACTTAACTATTTGGGGAAAAAGTGTAAATGACCATCAGTTTCATACAATAGGGCTATCATATGTCAGATACATTTGTACATAAGTTAGTAAGTCTATGGTCTTTATCACCATATTCTTAACTTGGTCTAAATCTCAAAACCTAAAATCTATTTTATTTAAATAGTACAGGCTAAATTATTGTATACAATTTTATGTAACTATAATACTATTGCTTTTGTACTTGATAAATCTTCAAGATATAAGGCTTTTAACAATATAAAACTCACAAAAGCTTTACCAACCTGGTATTTTCCAAACAGCAGCTGGTTTTGTAAGCTGTTAAGCCATATGCAACAAATTTGTAAACTATTATCTATTAACATTATACAGGATCATGTTTCTGATAATTCAAGCAGTGCTCTGTTAGGATTAAAATTGGTCTTGCTGCTAAAACTTGGCTGCAAAGGCTCTTTGAGTCCTGAGTGCCAACCTCACTCCCTCCTGTGAGATCACATCATATCATGGTCTGTTTGTAGATGCTATTTACTCATTTATATAATAAGGGTCGATATAAACTCATAAAATAGCCAGAATTAGGTTATAGTTCTTGATACCTTAGCTCTGTAGGTTTTAAAAAAAATATTTTTAATTATGTGTGTTTATGTGTAGGTGATGCACACTCTGGTGTTAACCCTTTTTAATTTATGCATATTTTCACAGGTGCAGGAGTACACACGTGTGTATACAGAGACCAGAGGAGGATACTTTGCCATTCTCTGCCTTATTCCTTTGATTTCTTACTGAATCTGGAGCTTGCTATTATTGTTCAGCTAGGTTGCTGGCCAGCAAGCTCTACTGATCCACCTGTCTCTGCCTTCCACCTTCAGTGATGATTTTGGTGCATGTAGCCATGTCTAACTTTTTACATGGGTGCTAGGGATCCTAATTCAGGTTCTTATGCTTGCATACCAAGTATTCTTACCTACAAACCACAAACCCATTTCTGTAGCTTCTAACCCTTACTCTGTTAATGCGGAGGCCTCTCAGGAATTACTTTGAGAACTTTTATACATTATGATACTCCCAATGGTAGCAAGGAATTACCTGATAATCTGAGTTCAATCATCTGTTCCCCAAGTAGAAGGAACATAGACTTCAAAAAATTATCTTGATATACATATATAGACTGTGGCATGTGTGTCCATTACCTACATATACATCATAATACATATTCACAATAATAATAAAACTTTTGTGTGTGTACACACATGTGTATGGTCGTGCATGTCATAGGAGGTATGTGGGAGTCAGAAGACAACCTTGGGTGTCAGACCTCACTCCAGGGATTCTTTTGTATCTAACTCCCATTCACAAGGTACAAGTGTTAAAATTTCAGATGTCTACTACTAATCTGAATCTATATAGCTTCTGAGGTCCTCAACTTGGAGAGATCAAGCGCTTCATTTACTGAGTCATCTCCCCAGCCTGAATTAAAAAGGATAAAAAAGTGAAAAAAAAAAGGATAGATTATTATGTTAAATGTAACGTCCCAGAACTTTTTTTTGGAACTTTCCATATGAATCATTATTCTTTCTAAGATTTTTTTTTTTTTTTTTTTACTTTTTGCTGACTCAGACATATGGAGAACACTAGAAACATTGAAGATGTAATCTACTGTCTTTACTGAGTTTATTTTAGTTCAGGGAGAAAAATTATACTGAAGCACTCAAATGGAACTAGTAATGGGATTTCTTACACCAGTTTATAATCCTTTTCTTCTCACTCATCATTCTTGACCAACATTTACTTGGCCTGCTATCTAATAATATTTATTTAATACTTCTACACTATAGGTCAATTTCAGCATTCTGGAGGCAGAGGCAGGTAGATCTCTGAGTTTGAGGCCAACCTGGTCTACAGAGGGAATTCCAGGTTGGCCAGGGCTACACAGAAAACCCCTGTAATGAAAAGACAAGCAACCAAAAAGTAAACAAAACACTTTTAAGAGGAATGAGAAAAGGACCATCTTCTACCAGATTTTCCAAGTAAGGGCCAGATAGTTGGGAGACAGGATTTAATAATAATTATGAAATGTCTTTATAAACTGTAGATTCAGGGAATAATAAAAATGTAAAAAGGAAATACAGATTTGCAGTAAAACAGTCCCCATATAAAGATGTCAATGTATAGAAATAATAATCCTCTTCTTCTACCCACATGGTACTTACTTGCCATCTGTGTCTGATGTAGCTGCATAGTGCAGGGGTGTACAGCCTCTTTCATCAAGGTCATTCACACTTGCTCCTGATCCCACAAGAGCAAACAGGCACTGGTAATTGCAATTGGCAGCAGCATAGTGCAGTGGAGATCTTTTGTGAGCAAATTAACACAGGAAACATAAAAGCCAGGAGCATACATTTGTAAACATAAGCATAGCTGACTCTTGTTCCACACATTTAGTTACAGTACAGTCCTAAGTCAATCAGAACCTTTATATTCTGCTTAGACACCTAAAGTTTTTCATTTTAATAAAGTTTGCCTTACACTAACAAAATCACCCCACATTCCATGAATCAAGTAATAAAAGCAAAGAAGAAAAACACAGATGCACACAGGAGTGGTCATTATCAACTCCACACAGGCCTCAGTAGTAATACTGGAGTTCTCAAGCATAAACTAGAAAGTCTTACAGACTTCCTATTCAGAATAATCCTAGCTAATTTCTCTCTGATTACTAAACATGGGAGAAACTATTTCAGGATGATAAAACAAGATAATTCTATGATTTCATTAAATGAAAAACAAAAATTATGGTAAGTTCAGTCAGAGTTCCTTACAGTGTATTTCCCCCCCCCTCTAATACATTTATCAAGAAAATGATAGCACAGCATTTTTTGTCTTATTGGATAATATTATAGTGTTTTTTTTTGTTTATTAGTTTGGGACAGGGTCTCACTATGTAGCCAGGGATAGAACTCTCACAAAGAGATTTTTTTTTTTAAAAAAAATGCAGTCAACCCTAGGAAGACAAAGCTTTTAAACTCATATTAGAATGTGCTTCAAAAATCCTCTTCACTTACTTGTTTCATGGAATATACAAGTTACTACAAATAAAAGAATTAGCTTTAAATTTTATTTTGTGGACCATTTGTTCCTTCTATTAGTACATTTATGAACTCAGTCAATTCTTCATTAGTTTTCTTCTAATTTCTTCCTACCATACAATTCCTTATTTTTCATCTGCATTGGTACTATACCACATGCACCAATACAAACCCACACATTTCCTTCTGATTTACACCCTTCCTAACACAGTCTTACATAGTTTTTACCTGCTGACATATATTGCTTATACTGTCACCTACATCTTTCAAACAAATTCAAACTGCATTTAATTCATTCCTTAATGCTTTTAATGTACTTTGTATGGATAATCATGCTATAAGTAGGAATAGAAAGTAATAGGAGCTTCAAGTGCTATTACTACAAATGCTAGTGGCAATAAAGCTAGACAATGGGATTTTGTCCTTTTACAGCTGCTTTCCTGCAGATTGGGTTATATGGATGTGCATAAAAGAGGGAGGGAAAAAGACATATAGATTTGTAACCTACTTTTCCTTTTAATAGTGGGAAGTAGGTATGCATAGTAGGAACTTTCACAAAAGAAAGACTTGGAAAAATCATAGGTACTAGGAATTTTTTGAAGGTACTTTGGGTACAACGGAGTCTTAAATTTCTATGCCTTAATTATGGAAAGAGGACAATTAATATCAAGGATAGGGATGGAGCTAGAAAAATGGCTCAGCAGTTAAGAGCACTGGCTGCTTTTCCAGAAGTCCTGGGTTCAATGCTCAGCCCTCACATGATGAGATCACAATGATCTGTAACTCCGGTTCCAGATGTTTCTCTTTTGGCCTCCATGAGAGTATAAACAGGCAAAACACCTACAAACATAAATAAATTCTAGCTGGGCAGTGGTGGCACTCACCTTTAATCCCAGCACTCAAGAGGCAGAAGCAGGCAGATCTCTAAGTTTGACACCACCCTATTCTACAGAGTGAGTTCCAGACAGGTAGGGCTACACAGAGAAATCTTGTCCTGGGGTGGGGGGAAAGGGGGGGGGGGAATCCCCAGGAAAACAAAAACAAATAAATTCTTTAAAAAGGGGGAGGGGGAATTGTAGGGGGTTGGAGGTAGCTAGGACTGTAGGAAGAACCCAATTAAAAGATGGGGTTGAGAACAAACACTTAAACCCACGGACTTTAGCTGGCTGGTGAACACCTGTGATTTTTCTTTTCCTTTTGGCAGTGCCAGGGATCCCATCCAATCCTATGCATTTGGGGAAGATAAGCCCTAACCCTAGCTCTACGCCAGACTCAACTAATCATGATTACAACTCAAAATGTGCTGTGTGACACATAAAGTTAAATTTCAGAAGACAGTTAAAGGGCAAGCAAGCCATTAAGTAAGCAAATTTAACCTAGCTTTAAATAAGAGTTGAATCATAGATTACCTCCCAAACTTATCCTTTTTGTTGAAGTCGGCACCAGTATTCAGCAGAAGGTTTAGGCATTCCAAATTTCTAGTCAGGAAAAAAAAAAAGTTCAAAAGTATAATTATCAATGATTTTATAACAAAATTAGCACACTTAAATAAGCATTAAGTGCTTATTTTAAAATAAAGATTTTTAAAATAATTAAAATGAAATGAAAATAACAACAAAAAAAATTCCTTTACCCTTAAAACACATAAGTCAACTTCTTCCAGTGTCTCCTTTACTATATTTATTCAGAATGAATCTTAATTAAAATTGTAAGACATGCTCACATGTTTATTAACCCTAACAACTTTGTGTATTATAATGAAAACCATGCCTGCTGCCTTTCTGTAAGCAAGTTACACACAGAATAGGTTTTAACTGAAGTGTCCTCTGGTGGCCTTAGCAGAACAAGGGAGTGAGTCTCATGTGCTCTCAATTCAGCTCTGTAACTTAAGATTTGCTAGGTGGCATTCTTGGTTCAGCACACTTGCTCTTTGAAGTAACAGGGAAATATTAAGGAATTATCATTAGAAATAAAGTGCTCACAAAAATGCCCTTTTTTGATAAATAATGAATCAAATGAAATAATACAAATCTAAGTTATCAGAAGCATTAAGGTAACAGAATGCTTTCAGAGACCAGGAGTTCTGGTATTAAGTAGAACTAACTGACTGGATTTCCCTACAGGGCTTCTTAAAACTTAATCCAAACAAGAGGGGTATCGTGTGCCTATAGTACCAGCACTTCAAAGGCAGAGGTTGGAGACTGAGTGTTATGCCAGCTTTGGCTATATAGAAAAACACACACACACACACACACACACACACACACACACACACACACACACACACACACAAAATGTAAATAAAATTTAGTCTAAAATATTCTAATCAAAATATTTCTTCTTCTGAGCCAAGACATAAGTATATTATCAATCTTTTTTCCTCTGAAGATACAATTTTTAAAGTACCATTTACAGCAGAGTACTATTTAGAACACTCACAATACTTTTACTATTTTGAACGTTCTCATCACCCCATAAACATTTTTGTTTAGGGATTATTTTCTCTTATAAAAAGTTAACATTCCTTTTGTAGGTTTGTTCTTGCCTACTTAATGCTTATGACTTAGCTGAAAGAAGGTGGGGAGGGGGGAGTGATTTTTGCTAATCCGGACTATCTTTTATTAAACTCCAGCTATGTTTCAATTTCTATGTTGTGGGGACTCAGAACTAATTAAGAGGAACAAAGAGATAGTCTCCATAACTGGTGTCTGTCTTTCTCTCTTTGTAATGAACCCAGGTATTCTTGGGATACTAAGTGTATACTCTAACAGTGACTTCCATAAAAGAAATAAAACTGATATTAACATACCCTCCAGCTGCAGCTGCATGTAGACAGGTCCTGCCAAAATCATCTGGGGTATCTATGTCAAATCCTGTAAGAATCAATATATACCTTTTCTCTTATGTAATACTATAGATGTATTACTTTGTATTAAGATAGTATTATCAAAAATAACAAATATCACATTGTTCTTTTCAATCCCAAACAAACCTATATATTCTTATTAAACACAAAAAGAATAAAGAAAAAAACACTAGTAATGCACAATATGACAAATAATTACACTAAAGGTCTGGCAATTTTATAAGTGCTATATTGCTTGTTTGAAAGGCTATGCGAGGAGTGATGGCTCACACCTTCAGTCTCATCATCCCAGCTGCACAGAAGAGTACAGCAGGAGGATCGCTTGAATCTTGGCTAGCCTTGACAATATGGTATAAAACCTGTCACAAGCAAGCAAGCAAACAAAACCACTCTAATGATAATATTCAATAAGAAAAGTAAATGAATAACAGACACAAACAGAATCCGTAACATCATGAGGTGTAAAGGATCAGTCATAAAATTGTGTTAGGTAATTCTATAGAAATTGAATGAATGGTGACTAAGATACCACATTACAGCATTTCTTTTATAGAAATTAAAGATGTTCCACAATGGATACAATTTATGGTTATATACCCACATGAACATATTAAAAATACTGAACTGTATACATTCAATAAGTGATTTTATAAGTATATAGCAAACAAATAACTCAATAAAGCATTTTAGCTAGGCCTGATGGTTTACACACACTTATCATCTGAGCACTTGGGAAGCAGAAACAGGACAATTGCAAGTTTAAGGTCAGTCTGGGCTTTACAGACTCTCTACTCATCATCTCCCTCCCTTCCAAAAACAGACATGTACTTTATTCCATGTGGCTATTATTAATACTGGGGAGAGATTTTCATACTCCTTTTCATGCAAAGTGGGATGGACAGTTTCATATTAATACTTATCGATACATATTTAAATAAAACAACCATATCAAGTTACTCACATAAAAATGTATTACACACACACCAACAAAAATACCCCACAAAACCTCAACAAGTATCTGTCTCACTCTATAATATTTTCACTGAAACCTCATTAATTTATTTCAGTAATCATGAGTGTTAACATTTAAGTTTCTTATATGCTGAGATATAAGAAGTAATTTAAAAGCAATTAAATCCTATATAGTCAATAATTCATTGCACTTAAGGATCATAGTTTGCAGTAATACTAACAAGAATCCATGCCAAGTATATAATTACAGCATTTTAAGCTATGCATGGATAACTTCATTCATTACTTCTAAGATATACACATTATAACTTTTAACTCTTAAAATGAAGACCCAAACCAATGAAATATGCCAACGAAGGTAGTTTGCTTCTAGGACAAATTAAAAAGGACAAGTTAAGAAGACTACCATCACTGGATAGAAGCTGCTGTATAGACACTTCACATTCCATGTTACCAACTAATAATTGTAAGAATAAAGCATTTCTCCAATCACAAAGAAGGAGAGGTAAAGAGGGAGGAAGGACAAGAGAAAGTGTGAGCAACTGGTGTAAAGGTTCCACTTACCCGAAGAAAGAAGTTTCCTACAGCAGTCCGAAAAACCACTTAAGGCTGCCAAATGGAGTGGAAACATTCCATGTATACCACGCCTTAAATAGGACAGAAACTTTGTTAAACACACACAAAAAAATAATATAAATATATTATAAAAAAGTAAAAATTAGTTGAATAGAAATCTCTTAATACTTTGGAGAAAAATCTGGCCAGTCATTGAAAAGTGCTATAACTAACTACCCAACTATATTTTCCCAAAGCTTATCTTTCTAACCTCAGCACTACCTCCAATATAGACTCATTGTCTATTTTATCTTTTGGTTTTCTGAGACAGGGCTTCTTTCTATAGCCCTAGCTCAAGAGATTAAAGGTGTGCACCACCACCCAGCATGACTCATTGTGTATTTGTGAGGTCTACATTCTAAATGTCGAATGCTCAGCATCACCTTTGGGTTATATTATTGACATCTTTTTCCCTAACCAAAATATTTCTAGGTATTTATTTGCTCAGGGAGCAAAACTTCTTCCCTATCTCACCTCAACTTTTAAAGCTATTTATGTAAGGAGTTATGCTCAAGAATGTTCATCTCAGTCATTTTGTAATGGTGAAAGTTTGAAAGCAACTTGATTGTAAATAAGGAGAATACCGTATGTATCTTTATGCAGTAAAATGAAATCCCCTAAAATAAACTAGATCTATAGATTTCAAAAATCAACAACAGTAAACATTTTATAGCATATGATGATCTATGAATATATAAAAAGTTTACAATTTGTTCATTAATACATATAAAATGACATAGGAATTAGAAATACCAATTTAGATATATGGTCTTGACTTTCACAGAATATATACAAAATAATTCATATTTTAAAAATTCATAGGGCAACTTTAGTATGTATGGGGTTAGGGGCAGGGACCCCACTGTATCAGCAACTAGGGCCTCCCTGAGCTTTGCACAGCACAATTTGGAACCTCTGTCTATAGAGGGTTCAAGAAATGCATTAGGTATGTACAATTTTTGTAACTTCTAGACCGAAAACAAAGGGATCATAAAAGTTAAATTTCTTATCCAAATAGTGTATTATTTATGGTGTAGAAAAAAGGAACAGAAATATGAAAACATGGCAAACTGGCTAATCAAACAAAATTATACATGAAATATATGAAATCTACCAGTGTCAAAATAAAAGGTAAGAAAAAAGCAAACAAGCCAATCAATTACTACAATGTTGAAGATAAAACCCTGGAAATGTCTAGAAAGCTCCAGTACATTGGCTTCTGTCCCTCCAAGACAACCATCACCACCTCAAGTACTACTTACTTTGCAGTATCAGCACCACTAGTAATAAGAGTGTTGATTAGCAGTTCATGGCCATACCGAGCTGCTATGTGCAAAGGGGTGTTTCCATTCTTATCTTCACAGTCAATTATAGCTCCTAGGATAAAGGACATAGTGTCAAGTTATGTACAGATTGGCCAATACTGTAAATGCAATGTAATAGAAAATGCTGTTTAAGCATAAACTAATGGATAAGCAATTCTAACTTGACTTCATTCACAGCATATTTATTGGAGTTATCAACTGCTTATTTTAAAACAGATTTGAGCATAGGATTTAAACATTTTAAACTAATAGAAGAGCTCTACAATGCAATGAGTCTAAAGACTCCCAGGCTAAAGACACTGCTTTAAAGTAGCACTTTACAGTAACCCTGTGCTTCATGCAATAGACTGCTCATACACAGTACTTTATAAATCTTTGGATCATAAATTTATTATTACTAATATTATTTCCCCTTTGCTGAGCTCTAGCAACAGAAGCTTACAAAGGTGTTCTTGGGGAGATGGTTCAGGGAGTAAAATGCCTGCTATTAAACGTGAGGAATAGAACTCATGTAAAGTTGGGTATGGGAGTGCCCGTCTGTATAAGTCAAATGCCCAAATGAAGAGTTAGGAGGTGGGAATGAAAGAATCCCCAGAAGCCCGTGGGCCAACCAGTCTGCAGTTAACATCATAAAACTCTATCTTAAACAAGGTAGAAGGACTAACATCTGAGGCTGTCCTCTGATCTCCACATGTATACTATAGCATATGTATGCCTTTCTTAGACATATATTCTCATACATGTTCACTATATATCTACATAGATTTTGTTTTGTTTTGAAAGCCATCAAGGGGCTGGAGAGATGGCTCATTGGTTAATAGCACAGGATATTCTTCCAGAAGGCCTAGGTTCACTTCCCAGCACCTATATCAAAGTTTACAATAGTCTTTAACTTGAGTCCCAGGGAATCTGATATCCTCTCCTGCCATCGTGGGCTCTACATGCATGTGGAGCACTGACATACATTCAGGCAAATATTCCTTCATGTACATAAAAATAAAATCTTAAAAAGAACAACAGAATCTTCAATAAAGATTACATATTAAGGGCTATTAACAAACAGTCTTTTAGAACATGGACTGAGAAGCACAGATTTATATTAACAGCCATAAAATTTAATTTTAATTTACCCAGTTTAATTTACCCAGTAATAATTTAAATAGAAGAGAATAAAGTTCAGAAAGTAAATTAAAAACCTAAAAAGAGTTCATTCCAAAGCATTCAAACAGGGAAAAATGAAAAATACACTTAAGCACACATTAGTAGAAAGGCAGTTTCCAAATTACCAATATTGGGGGGGGGGGGGGAAGAGAAAGGTCAACACTAAATGCTATAGAAATAAAGTTCATAGCGGGCCAGGTGGTGTGTAAGGGTGTGCGGTAAGAGGATCGTGAATTCAAGGCAAGCAAAATCTATGCAGGGAGGTCCTCCCCTCCAGTCTACTCAAAAGAGAAGAAATGAAATTAATAATTCAGAAGGATAAAAATAACTATGATGACATATATTCATGCTATTTTATCCTCTGCTGATTTTCAAAAATCTTAATAGTATATACACTAGTATGGCAATTCCACAGTGCCATTCACTTCCTTTTTGGTCAAACAAAACAAAACAAAAACAATAACAACAAAAAAAACAAACCCAACTACATTGAAGAAATAAAAGAAACAGAAATACTTTTTACCACTCTGGATAATGGTTTGTGATCTGGAGAATCTACCGTGCAGAGCAGTCATGTGTAGTGGGGTTTTCCCATCTTTACTCTGAAATAATGGAACAACAACAACAAAATGTCTAATTACTATGTTGTACCAGATTATGCATTCCTCAACTGTATTTTAGATCTTACATAAATTTTATAAATATTACTCAATTATCAAGTCTTCCAGAGGCAAATCAGCTTTCTAAAGTATGAACTGGCTTTTTATTTCTTAGCATGTATATCAAATCATAAACACATAAAATTCCCCATGCTTACAATTTACACAAGTCCTGTATGGCATTGTAAAGCATAATCTTAACAGTCCTATTCTACAGGTAGGAAAATTAAAACAGGATATGGAATGATCCAACCAAGGGCACCATAATCTCAGGTGGCGGTGTAGTTGTGATGTGCTTGCCAAGTCAAACATCCAAACTCACCTTGCACCAATGTTTTTAGTTTATGAAATCCAGAAACCTCCCATCTGTATTTACTATGTCCCTTACATTGCCTTAATTTGTTTGTAATTACTTGTAATCAATAATGTTAGTTATCTTCTTGAATTGTTTAAGGTAATCAGACTGGTTGGCTGTGTATTTCTATAGTTCAGAAGAAATACCAAATGCGAAAAACAATGTCTAACTGATGGGATATTATTTTCTTTCTTGTGGTGAGTTGAACTATACAGAAGAAACTGTCTTGTTCTCCTAATCATTCAGCACTATTCAGTATGCCTTCTGTACAAGTATTATAACAAATGTTCCAAATTTGTATTAACCATGTGAAACTTTTCATGCTATATGGACAGAAATAGTTATTGAGGTCTTTGATTCTATAATTGGCCTACCTTGTTTTAGGACAGGGTTATACCATGTCACCTAAAATTCATTACATATCCCAGAATGGCTTTGAACTTCTGATCCTCCCATCTCAGCCTCCTAAGTGCTAGATTATAGGGATGCACTACCATGCCCAGCTTGTTCCTTTAATTTTATTTTTTTTTGGGGGGGAAGCATAAACTATCTAGTAACCCCAAGGATTTTCTAATATTCTGGAGGTACTGGAAGAAAGGATGAGAAAGCATGTATGCAGACTCCAGAACCACAGCAATATTAGTCAATAAATTTCAGCTCAGACTGTTGAGACAAGAATTTAGACAAATTGTCTAACTTTCTTGAGCCTTTCCTTCTTCAACTGAAAATGAGGATATTATTATCTAGACTTTATAGGTCTGCTACACACTCTAAATATAACCACCTTTGGAAATCACTTACATAGTGTACTTGTTTTATTCGGTATTTTATTCCTTTAACCAGAAGAGGGGGAAAGCATGACGGTATTTAACAAAACATTCTAGTTTCATGTTTTCAAAAATGTTTACTAAGTGGCAAATTCCAACTCAGTGTTAATATTTACATCCCTTTCTTTTGTAGACAAAAAGCAAAGCAAATAAAATAATGAAAATAGGATTCATAATACAGTGAAATTTGAAAGATATGACTTCAGTTAACATTTAAGATTTAAAAACATATTTTAGTATAATTTTGCAATAGTTCATATATGCCTGCCATTTCATCCTCACAACCCTATGAGTTAGATACTATTATTTTAGGCTGGTGAGATTGCCTACTTAGAAAAAGAACTTGCTGCCTAGTCTGATGACTTAAGTTTGATCTCTGGACACACACGGTGGAAGGAGAGAACCCAATCCTGCAAGCTGAAAACTATAACTTAGCACCAGTAGAGAGTACACTTATTTGTCTTTGAATTGGAGAAAAAAAAATGGAAATTATTTTTAACCATCTAAAATCATATTAAACTCAAGCTAGGAGTTAAATTTTTACATTTATTTATGTATTATTTATTTTTGCATATATGCATGTGTCACAGTGCAAGTGTGGAGGCCAAAGAACAACAAGCAGGAGTTGGTTCTTTTCTTCCATTATGTGGGTTCCAGGGATCAAACTTAAGTTGTGAGCATTGGCAGTAAGTGCCCTGATTTGCTGAGCCTTCTTGCCAGCAAGTAAAGATCACCAACTTTCTGGGAGTTGCTATCAGTACCCATTAATAACAACAAAAGCCATATATTTTATAGTATTTTAGGATTAAACTATACTGTGATATATTTTTTTAAGACAGGGTCTCTGCATATAACGCTCTATGTCCTGGAACTCACTAGTAGACTGGGCTGGTCTTGAACTCACAGACATCCGCCTGTCTCTGCCTCCTGGATGCTGGGATTAAAGTCCAGCTGAAAAGAATATATTCTTAAGGATGAATAGAACAGGTAGTCTTATACACAATCTCAGCATGCAAGAAGTTGAAGCAGGAAGAACACTGAGTCTGAGGCCATGCTGGGGTATGTAATAAGAAACTGTCTCAAAATAAAGATAGTCAGGCATTGTAGCTATACTTATCTATAAATGATCCTTGCACTTAATGATGTAGATACAAGGCCAACTTTTAGCATATAGCAAGTTAAAGGCGATTCTGGGCTACTTGAGAACCTGTCTCCATCAACAGGGAGGGAAATTGCCTTAGAGTTACCACTATTGTGCTAAAGCACCATGCCCAAAACTTGGGACGAAATGGTTTATTTTGTTGGTTTACATTTCCACAGCACTGTTTATCACTGAAGGAAGTCAAAGCAGGATTTTGGAAGCAGGAGCTGATGCAGAGGCCATGGAGGCATGCTATTATGGGCATGCTTCCTCTGGCTTGTTCAGCTTGCTTTCTATAGAACCCACAACCTCTGGCCCGTGTATGGCACCACCCACAAGTGGGCTGGGCTCTACCCTCCACCATCAATCACTAATTAAGAAAATGCCTTATAGCTGGATCTTATGGAAGCATTTTCTCAAGTGAGGTTCCCTCTTTTCAGATAACTCTAGCTTGTGTCAAACTGACATAACACTAGCCAGCACAGAAAGAAGAGAAGGGAAGGGGGGGGGGGCAGAGGAAGTCATAGAGCAAAACAGCACATAGGAAAAGTATGTGTGCGACCAAAACAATGTAGTCAGGCTCATGTTAAGAAAAATTATAAAAACCAGATGACAATTATGCTTTAAAGCCCATTCATGTAATTCTACTGCTCTTGTAAAATTAAATGTTTAGAAAGTGAATTACTATAAATTCACATTTCAATTTCTATATTTACAAGTTAAGGACAGAAGCAACAAAATAGAGAGAAGGGTAGGGAAGAATAGCAATAGCAGGAAGAGGGTAAATGATCAGTAAAATGGTTTTCCCAACAGGCAAAATGTTAAGGACTTGACTCATAGACATATACACATATATCATACATACATATCACAGAGACTTTAAAACTCTGTCTTGAAAAAACCAACAAAACTAGATTTGATCTTTGCCTCTGAGGTCCATTAAGATAACTAAAAAATTTTATCTTGGTGGGGGGGGGGAACAATTTCTACAACACAAATTTTGTTTCTGGGCTGGGTTAAGAAGTCAAGTTAAAATAATAAACTGGGCGTGGTGATGCATTCCTTTAAACTCAGCACTCCAAAGACAGAAGCAGGAGTGTCTGAAGATTTCTCCAGGCCAGCCTGGTCTAAACAGCCAGTTCTAGGCCAGTCAGGTAGTACACTGAGATCTTGTCTCAGACAAACAATGAAAACCTGAAAAGTGTCATCAATACATTTTAATTAAACTATTAAAAATGTTACTAAGATACTTGAAGATTGAAAGCACACATATATAAATGCAAACATACATATATACATATATGCTTTGTTTTTAATTCAGACAGGGTACTACTGTACACCCCAGGGTGGCCTCAAAATCACTATCCTCCCGCCTTAGCTCCCAAGTGTTAGGATTACAATGTGTGTCATTATGCTTATCTTTAAATGTATATATTTTGCACGTTTGTGCTGTTTATCTTTAAATGTATGTTTTGTATGTTTGTGCGTACAAATGAGTGTGAATGTGCATGCACCTGGGGCTACCCACTTTGTTTTTTTTTTTGTTTTTTTTTTTAAGAGAGGGTTTATCACTTGCCTAGAGTCTTCAGGCCTGCTAGGCAAGTCACTTTATCGAGTATTTCTACAGCCTTAACGGTATATTTTTTAAAAAGACGGTTTAGGGGCTAGCAAGATGGCTCAGCATTTAAGAGCACCTGCAACCCCAGTTTGACTCCCAATACCCCCATGGTGACTCACAATCGTGATTCCAGTTCCAAGGGATCTAACTCCCATTTCTGGACTCCATGGACACCAGGCATATATGTAAATAAAATATTCATACACATAAAATAATAAGATAATTACAGAGGCTCTTGATTCCTTAAGTATGAAGTAAATAAATTTGTCCTTCAGTTGAGAGAAAACAATGAACTAACTTAATGCTACTTCACTTTCCTCATGTAGGTTAGTGTTCTCAAGTTAGGCAAGGTAGTGCTCTTCTACATCCATGTTCAAAATGAGCTGAAATTCCCTGTAAACATCATTTGTAAGTTTACTTATCTCTACTAATCCTACATGATTCAAATTTGATTGACTGTGATTTTCTTCATAACACAAGTTGGGATGTGTCAAGTACTGTAAATGATAAACTGATGAATATGGGGGAAACAGTGAAAATACCTTTTAATACTGTAAAATGATTATATACTATGAAATAAGAACTCTTGAAATCTTAGTTATCTATATTTCTCATAGAATTACATAGTGAAAATAAATATACTTTGACTTCTGAATTTTAACGTATTTCTAAAATGCCCATTCCTGAAAGCAATTATGAACAAAAAGCCAAGAGCCTATTCTTTATGTATAAAAGATAGATGTTTCTATGCTACCACTATGAAAAATTTTGTAACAGAAATTTCAGTAGAGAACAATTTCAAAATAGTATTGTAGAATGAATATCTACATACATATCTGGATTCTACCAACATTTTATTCCATGTTTTTTTAATCATATTATCAATAAAATTATTAGATGTTTTAGAATTAGTCACAGGTGTCATCACTATGTGACAATCAGGGTGTATCATTCATAACTCAACACCTATTGCTTCCCTTATAACACAAAGTTTACATTCAACAAAGCGCACTGATCATAAGAGCCCCAGTGGGTTTCCACAGATGCTTATCTACATTATACAAGACCTGCCAAGTACTAAACAGTACTGTTACCCTGTAAGGTCTCCTCATGCCCCTTGTCCAGGCGATCCTTCCTTCTCATGGGCAACAACTGATCTATTATTTTCCCCAGACTATAAATTCTGGAACTCCATATAAGCAGAATTCCATCTGTTCTAGAATGTTGCATAGATGGAAAATGTATTAAATTGTTTCTCTGATTCAGCATAATATTTCAGAGATTTATTTAGCCATGTTCTTTGGCGGGGGTAGAGATGGTGAGATGGTGGCAGTAGAGACAGGGTTTCACTGTGTAGCTCTGCTGGCCTCAACTCAGAGATTGCCTGCCTCTGCCTCCAGAGAGGTGGACTAAAGGCATGTGCTGCCATGCCTGGCCTTATCCATGCTCGTAAGTAGGGTCATTTTAATTCTGCGTGGTCTGTGTTATGAATATTATTTTAGACAGTTAACTACATACTGACAGCACAAACTGTAACTGTTTCATACCTTCATATTGACGTCAGCCCCATTGCCAACCAGGAGTTCTAAACACAGTGCTCCATGTGTTGATGCAGCAGCAAAGTGCAAAGGAGTGAATCCTTTCTCATTCTTCTGATTCACATTAGCACCACAGTCTATGAGCTCATTCACAACAACATCTTGTCCATTATAGCAGGCGACATGAAGAGGTGTGTTTCCATAGGCATTTGGTTCATTCATCTATAGCAAAAAAAAATGTTAAATAATTCTTCTAGTACTACTATAAGCTATTTTCAATTTTTAGTTATATAAAAAGAATACAAAGATGAAGTTTATAATGTTAAGGTTCTTTCATAATAAATATAAAAATAAGTAATTTAGTGTTAATTGGGGTACGTACATTTAGAGAATGTGTTTCACAATGTTAAATTCCTCCACAAGAGGATGTGGAGGGCCCAGCCCATTGTGGGTGATGCCATTCCTGGGTGGTGGTCCTGGGTGCTATAGAGAGTTGAGCAAGCTATAAGGAGCAAGCCAGTATGCAGCACTCCTCCATGGCTTCTTACTCAGAACCTGCCTCCATATTCCAGCCCTGACTTCTTTCAGTGATGAACAGCGATGTGGAAGCATAAGCCACATAAACCCTTTCTTCCTCAATAGTAACTAAGACACATAAATTGATCATATCAGAATGCTAGCTAATTAAATTGATGGAAAGAGTTGATAGACAACAATATTATTGCTATCTTTCAAACCTAAGTTCTGACAATAAAAATAGAACAATACTTTGAAATGTATGCTGCTCAATTTATATACCTACATCAACTCCAAGATCTAGAAGGTACTTGACTACACTGATCATTCCACTAGAGGCTGCTGCATGAAGAGGTGTGTAAGACTTCTTATCCTTGCATGTCACTTCAGCTCCATGAAACACAAGTAATTTCACTACTTCAATGTGACCTGAAAATACATTTACAAAAACAAACAAACCCAAACAGATCAGCTCATAGAAATTATTAAATAGATTCTGAATACTTTTTAAGAAATATAAACAACACATTAAGTTTATAATGCATGATGACTAATAATTCATGCTGTAATTCAAGAGAGGAATGAAAACAATTTAAGAATTCAGGATAATTTTGACAAATGTTGGTACAAAAAACAATTTAAAAAAACAATACAACTTACTATTTTATCTAGTGTTAATCTTGACTAGATCTAGTTCCTTTACCCAAAGGTAATTTAACATCCCCCCCCACCCTCTCTCTTACTTTAATGATGTCTTCCATTATGTCATGACATGACATGACATAGTAGGAAGGAAGACACCAAATGACAGAACCTTCATCTTGGATTTCCAAAGCTCCAAAATTTGAAGGCAAAGAAATTCTGTTCAGGATAAATTACCCAATATCACATATTCTGTTGCAGTAACGCAAGGTAGATCAAGAATGAACCACTAACTCCAAAACAAAGAATACCCTTTTAATCATAATCGAGTATATCCATAACATAGAAACCATGCTGGGTCTAGACCAAGATTTACATACTTAACTATTTTAGAAACTCAACCTCAAGCAAGCCACAAAATTATTCTCATGAAAATTACTTTCATGAAAATAACTGTTAAGTCAAACCTAATTCCTTTAAAATGAAAGGCTTACTATACTCCACTGACTGTGCAAACCTTTTTAACACAAAATGTGCCATTTTAAATGGTCCCAATGAATAAGGTACAATCAAATATTCAGAAGTCTTCAAAACTTAAGGATGTAAAACTCCACATAGTATGATAGACTTTAGAATGAAACAGAACTCCTTTAACATAAGAAAAACTTTCCTTATATAAGAGGCACATATTTTTGGTGGTAAATAACACATTTTCAAGTTTTGGTCATTATAACAGAGTATGTGACCAAAATGGTATCCTTAGGTCTGGAAGTATACACTTAAAATTTCAGTGTCAGGGATGTAGAAACAGACAAATCTGAGGCTTTCTGTTCAGTCAGTCTACTATATCCCTAGGTCCCTATATCCCTAGGGCCCTGACTCAGAAAATAAGGCAGATCCCTCCAGAGGAATGACACTGGAAGTTGAACTGACACACATGTGCATGTATGAATACATGAAAACATACACATGCACGCACACACACACACACACACACACACACACACACACACACACACACATGCAGCTTAGCTCATAATAGTATGCTTAGTTTGGGTTTTGTTGTTTAGTTGTTGTTTTGTTTTTGCAGTGATGGAGATTGAAAGGCCTTGTGTATGCAAGGCAAACAGTATCACTTCAACTATACTTCCAGTCTAGTAAGATGCTTCTCAATGCATCTTCACAACTTATGCTTTATTAATCCAATTACAAGAAGAATGGATATGCAAATGAGCTTTTAGTAAACAGCCATCTTAAGTAAAATATCCCAGGCCACCATCTGAGCTGTCTCTTATTTTATTCAGTTTTTATAAAGTGGATCCAGTATTCTGTTGTAGTAAACCTCTTCTACTTGTTCTGCCTGGGCAACAACCTCAGATACTGTACAAAACTTACTGTTGTACTTTTAAAAAACTTACATAAATGCCAAAAAGAACCCAAAATCATTATTTCTCCTAAATATATTTAAAAAAGTACATACCCATATATGCTGCCCAATGGATGGCACGCCTATCTTTCTTGTCAAAAGCATTAATATTGGCACCTCTAGACAGTAGCAGTTTGACCATCTGGAATAAAAGTAAATAGTTTCATGGAGATTAAGAGGTAGAATTCTTTGTAAATATGCCTTGTGATTATTTGATCTCTCTGGCACTGGAATTGCTGCAGTTATAAAAAGGAACTAAAATACTGAAGGACATTTAATATAATATGATTAACACAGGAGGGAATTCACTGTGCTACCGAAGTCAGGCTGTGGCCTCCTTTAAGATACCACTTTGCAACTCAGTATTTTAAGAACTATCTAAATAAATACAAATCTTGAAAGTCTAAAGCTGGAATACTTAAATAGAATTTGTGTTGCTATTTATAACCTAAAGTCTTATTAGAGAATGTAAAGAAGTATCTCTCATACTTTTAATGTTTGAAACTTAATTTAACCCTTATGGTAGATCCACTATGTTTAAATTAAATTATTACAAAGTATACTTTCAAATTTTATATTTCAAATTCAATTACTTACAAAGGCAATTATCTCATATTTATAATTGTATCCCCATTTTGTGATTAGATCTATGCTACAGTTGATGCAATGATTCACAGCATTATAATGAAAAGAACAATGAGGCTACTAGGTTTCCAGCTGCAAAATATTGGGAATACCATTCTAAAACTGTTTTGGTGTCTGCACATTGAGGGACTAGGATCTAGATACACTGGAGTACAACTTGTTTCAGTTGCTTAGAAGAGGCTATGTATGAGGATAGCCTGAAGTTTGGAACACAGTAACATTTCATCTTAAATTAAGAAAGGGAAGTGAAGAGAGTAGGAACAACAATACAAAAAAGAAAGAAGGAAGGAAGGAAGGCAGCTATGGGGGGGGGGGTGGAAAAGGTTCTTCTAACTCTGGTTCAACTAGGCTTGCCAATGCTTGATTAAAGATAATTCAATAAACATTTTGTGTATGTGTATATGTGGACACATCAGAGGTTAATATCGGGTGTTTTCTACAGCTTGTTTGCTTGCTTGTTTGTTTAGACAGGGTTTCTCCTTGTGCCCTGGCTATCCTGAAACTCACACTATAGACCAGGCTGGCCTCAAACTCAGAGATCCGCCTGTCTCTGTTTCCTTGAGTGCTGAATTAAAGGCATGTGCCATAACTGCACAGCACTTCAACCTTATTTTTTTGAGACAGGGTCTCTAACCTGCAGTTTATCAATTTGGGCAGGCAAGCTGACCAACAAGTTGCAGAGATCTGGCTGGGATTACAGTGTGCACCATCATACCTATGGGTGCTGGGGATCTGAACTCAGGTCCTCATGCTTGCACAGACAGCACTTTATGGACTGACCCATCTCCCCAACCCTATAGTGACTAATTTTCTTTTTTTTAATTAAAGTTTATTTATTTATTATGTATACAGTGTTCTGCTAGCATGTAAGCCTGCAAGCCAGAAGAGGGCACCAGATCTCATTATAGGTAGTTATGAGCCACCATGTGGTTGCTGGAAATTGAGCTCAAGACCTCTGAAAGAGCTGTTTGTGCTCTTAACTGCTGAACCATCTCTCTAGTCTGATTTTCTTAATCTGTTTTCTCTTGTTGGTTCTGACACTAAGGGATTATCTTAAAGATAAACTACAAGAAAGCATTGTTTCTAAACATTGCCTTTCTTATCCATTATCTCTTTTCTTCTTAAAGAACAATTATTGCTAGTCAGGCGTTGGTGGTGCATGCCTCTAATCCCAGCAATCAGGAGGGAGAGGCAGGTGAATCTCTGTGAGTTCTAGGCCAGCCTGGTCTACAGAGCAAGTTCCAGGGCAGGGTTCAAAGCAATACAGAAAAACCCTGTCACAAAAAAACCAAACAAAACTAAACAAAGAAAAAACAAAAACGATTGCTGCCTCCCTGTACTTTCTTGACAATGATAGAATATATTTCTTATGTTATCCAATAGCCAACAGTGCTCTCATTTTTAGGTCATTATGAAATTGTAGTGTACGTGTATTACGAACAAGGTAAATTTTAAATTTGAGAACACTTGTATCACTGAAAAAGAAAAAAGGTGGGATATTTTGTTTGCTTTTCCTATTAACTGAATGAATTAAAAGATGGCAAATTCATTAATAACCAAAGCCTGAAATAAAAGACAGTTTCTAATTGAATGCACTTACCTCACCATGCCCACTGAAAGCTGCATGATGCAATGCAGTTCTCCCTGCTCGATCCGATACATTCACATTACTCAGAAGAGGTACCAAAGACTCAGCACACTTTACAGCTTTATTAGCAGCAGCTATATGTAAGGGGGTCTGCCAATTTTTGTCTCGAGCATTAACATCGGCAGAATGCTTCAAAAGTATCTGAACTGCTTCCTAAAATATAAACAAGAGAGGTAAATACTTTTTGAAACTTATAAAGATGAATTCATATGGAGAAAATAAAAGTGTTGAAAGAGCCCACTATAAGTAATGGGAATTTAAGAATGTATTCTGAGTTTAAAAATAGTACTCAGAGCCATAAAAGATGTATTTTGGTAAAAATACTCTTTTCTCACTAAACTGACAGCACTCTCTATTAAAATGTACAATAAAAAAGCAAAGAAATGCATGTTTTTCATTAAGTGTTCATATTAGAAAAAACAGATTTAGTGAATATATTACATAACTAATAAGATTTACTATTCTACTATTAAATACACAAAAACTTAAGACATTAAAAAATCACTAGGTCTGGTTCATTAAATTAGTACATAAAGGTCTTCTATTGTAATGCAATTTAACATGAATAACGTGAAGCAAGGTAAAAATTACTGTCTCAAGAAATTCATCTCCTTAGAAGCACATGGAAATTTTACACCATCACTTTTATAAAGCAGATGTTTGCCAGGATTCCTAGGATTGCCAGAGTTCCTAGAAATTTTAAATATATCGTTGACATTAAGCAACATAATCATAATTAAACAGCAAAATTGTCTCCTTATAGTGATAATCCTATGTTTGGTAAGTAAGTACAAAACCACATATAAAAATGATTTTTTAAAAAACAAATTAAAACTTTATTACAGAGACATTGCAAATAAGAAACATTACATAAAGAAATCAGCGAGACCCAAAATGGCATAACCTTCTATATTTAGAAGAGTCATCCTGACGCTGTGGAACTTCACACTGGATTGTACTTTCAGTACCAATTTTTTTTTTTTTTAATGCATTTAATCTACCACAGTCTCCATCCACTTCAAACCCATGAAAATTATAATTTTAATTTTTCTAGTTTGAAAAACAATGAACTTTATATCCTTTCATAACTTGTGTTCAATACCTGCTTTGTACTCTTCCTCATCATCTAATATTTACCTGTTTTGTTCTCCTTTTTACATGTTATACTATATACACATACTTGTTTGCTTATATACATTACATATGAATACATATATAAATTATAGTCCATAGTCCAAAAGAGGAAAAACATGCAGTATTTTTTCTTTCTGAAACTATGTGACCTCAATTAGTATTATATATTCTAAATCCATCAATTTCCCTGCAAATTGTGTTTTCATTTTTCTTTAGAGCTGACTAATATTCCACTTGTATCACATTTTAATTATCCATTCCTCTCCTGATGAACAACTAGGTTCATTTCATTTCCTTGCTATAGTGAATAAAGCAGCAATAAGCATGAGAGTGCAACTATCTCTGTGGATGGCAAGAAATAATAAAGATTAGAGAATAAATTAAAGAAATACTAAAATAACAAAACATAAAACCAACCAGAGTTAGTTCTTAAATCAAAAGACTGTCATTAAAACAGACTCCAGCAAATTGCAGAGCTTTACTAGTGATTATTACAAAAAATTATACTGTAAAAGGCTGGATAACCCAGAAGAAATAGATTTTTCTTAATGTATAGGAGATAACAATAATATAGACAAACCAATTACAATGAGATTGAAGCCACAGTCAAAGAGTTTCCATCAAAAAGCCCAGAACTACATAGACTCTCACTGCTGAATTCTATCAAACTTTCAAGAAAAATCTCATACCAATTATTCTTAACTTGTTCCACAAAACAGAAGATGAAGAAGCACTATCAAATTCATTCCATGAAGTATTATTCTGATGCCAAAACCAGGTAAAGACACAAGAACAACAATAAGAAAACTACTGACCAGTTTCTTTAATGAACACAGTTGCAAAAAAATCTCAGCAAAATACTTGCAAATAGAATCCACGAACACATAAAAGAGATTATATATTATGACCAAGTAGGCTTCATCCCAGAAAGGCAATGTTGGTTCACATACATAAATTAATAAATATGATATACTATATAAATGCATATAAGGATAGAAACCACATAACCAATTGGATTGATGTTTTAAACAAGTGTTTGAAAAAATACATTAAACTTTCACGATAAAGTTTTGGAGATATCAGTAATAGATGGAACATACTTAAAAATAACAGAGTATATGTGACAAACCTATAACACACATTATAGTAAATACAGACAAACTGAAAGCACTTCTTCTAAAATCAGGAACAAGACTTAAGAACGCCCACTATCCCTTCTCTTATTTGATAAAGTCTTACCTCAAAGACAGAGATTGGATAAAAATAGGGAAGGAAGAAAGAACACTATTTTTATTTGTAGATGGCATTGATTCTTGACTTTAAAAACTCTGTGATCTAATAAACAGAGTAAAGTTGCAGAATACAAAAACCAGCATTAAAAAGATACCCCAGTGATCTTCATATATACCAACAATGTACTCTCAGAGAAATATAGAAGTATTCCGTTCAAAATAACTCCCCCACCAAAAAAAACCTGAAATACTAAGGAAAATAAGCCAATCAAAGAAGAAAAACACCTCCACACAACAAAAACATCAAAACACTGAAAAAGGAAATCACAGAAAGTACTAGATGATGGAAAGACCTTTCATACTCTTTGACTGACAGTATAAATACTGTGGAAATGGCTGTATTATCAAAAATATACAGATTTTCTGCAATTATCTACCAAAACTCTGATGCCATATTTCATAGATCACACAAACAAATCAAATCAATAAGTGTACTATCCCACTGAGTATATTTAGGGGGGAAAAAAGAATCATATGGAACCATAAAAGACCACAAATAGCCAAAGTAATCCTAAGGAGTAAGAACACTGCTAGGAGTATGACAACACATGATCCGAAACTATTGTTATCAGTGTAGTGATAAAGACAACCTAGTACTGGTAGGAAAACAGGTAGGAGGATCAATGGAAACAAAAAAAAAAAAAAAAAAAAAAAAAAAAAAAAACCACTATCTGAAAAAAAGATAGCCCATTCAACAAATGGTGCTCTCAAAACTGGTATCTATCTGTAGTAAACTGAAATCAGATTAATTTTTAACCTTCTTTTAAAAAAGCAATTTAAAATGGATCAAATTCCTTAATTTAAAATCTGAAACACTGAAATAAAATAGACAATAGTCTTCAAGATACTAGGTTCAGTGAGAACATTCTGAATAAATACTATCAGCACGGGGACTAGCCCTAAGAATCAACGAATAAGATTATATGAAAATTTAACTATCAGCAACAGAAACTAACAACAGAGGAAACAGCACAGGAGAAAGTCTTTTCAAGTACACTTTTCACAAGGAGCTAATATCCAGAACTTACAAAGAACTGAAGAATTAAATATCAAGGATATAAAACTGTCAATCAACAAACGGGCAAGCAAGTGAATCAAACAGTTTTCAAAAAGAGAGACAAAATGGCCAGTAACTGATTTAAAAAAGTATTCAATATCTCTAATAATCAGGGAAATACAAATTATCTATCAAACATAAATACAAACACAAACTACTATACAAATACAAACTACTCTTATCCTATTTAAAATGGCTTATCAACAAGAAATCAAACAATGGGGGCTGGAAAGATGGCTCAGAGATTAAAGAGTATTTGCTGCTCTTATAGGAAAGACCCTGATTTGGTTCCCAGCACCCACACTACAGCTTACAAACATCTGTATCTCCAGTTCCAGGGGACCAAGGGCTCTCATCTGGCCTCTGCAGGCAAAACCTCAAGACACATAAAATAAGCTTAAGTAAAAAAAAGACAGACAGACAGATAGATCTTACAGTGCTAGGAACATAACTAAAATCATTTTGTGTAGAACCATTCTGTGTGACTTTGAAAAATGTAATGTTGGCAAGCTGTGTTAAGGGGCCCATCATAAGGCAGCTCAGATAGGAGCCAAGCCTGACATACCAATGAAACAACCCTGAGCAGTGAGCTCTGATAGAGTAAAGTTAATGCCAAATGGAACAGTACAAAAACTGGAACTTTGGAGGCGGCCCCAGATCTTACTGCTGTGCTCCCTGAGATGGGGCATTTCAAGCCAATGCACTGATCTCCATCTGCAAAGAGATTTTGAACCTGGCTACTGTGTGACTTTGGGTTCTGTAATCTTCACATTTCTTGCAGAGCTGATGAGTTTATAGACTCGTCTGTCAAGCTAACCTCTGGTCAATAAATATTCTTAATCATCTTCTGGAGCTTCCAACAGTGCCAGCCCCAGGTGTGTCACAACTGAAGCAACTCCCAGCAGATGCTGGTCAAGCTCACAGCTCATTGGTTCTGCTTGTCACAGTCAACAAATGTTGGGAAGATGTGGAGAAAGAGGAACCCATATTCACTGCTAGAGGTAAAAATTAACACTGCCATTATGGAAATTAATTTGGAGGTTCCTTAAAAAATTAAAATTAGAACTACTATATGACTTAGCTTTCATTCCTGGGCATATATAAAGAACTTAATTCTACCACTTACAAGACACTCAACTTTTGTAAAATTGCCCTTTGGTGTTCTTATATAGGAGAGAGAGGATACTAACTGACCACTATTCTTACCAAATTGCTCTAAGATACAACTAACTACTGCACAGGGAGAGCATTAAAGTGTGAACTGCTATAAAGTTACAAGGGTTCAAGGCATAAGCACAACTTTGATCTTTGAAATAAAGAACAATCACAACTTCATGAAATACAGGAAACAGCACTTGTACTTAGTAGGGCTGGCAAAAAAGACTGAAGAGATGCTCAGGAATGTACTAACTTGCTGAGGAAGTCAGGCAGCAAATCAAAAATACTCAGAGGCCTCTGATCTCACAATTCCATTCCAGTTAGAGAAAATAAACAGAGCTCTTCAAGAATGCTGTCTTAGTTACGGTTTCTACTGATGTGATAAAACACCATGACCAAAAAAGCATCTTAGTAGAAAGGGTTTGTTTCATCTTAAAACTTATGAAAAAAAGTCAGGGCAGGAACTCAAGCCTGGAACATAGAGGCAGGTAAGCAGAAGTAATGGAGGTGTGCTGTTTACTAGCTTAGTCTTCACAACTTGCTCAGTGTGCTTTCTTACAGAATGGCACTTGGAAGGATGAGGCAGGAAGGAGGATCAGGAGTTTGATGTCGGCCTACGTTACAGAGTAAGAGCCCATTGCAAAGAAAAAGAAGAAAAAATTCTCATTTTGGATGACAAGTTGTATCAAGTTGAAAAAAACAAACAAAACAAACCCAACCAGGACAAATGCTCATATCAGTTTCTTTTGAACAGTCATAAAATAAAATATGCAAATATCTATCAATAAGAAATTTGAAAGGCAACTGTATAATATACTCAGCAATAAAAGGGAACTTATTATTAACAGCATCATCATCAAATATTAAATAGGTTATGTTGCAGAAACCAAAACAAAAATAATACATATTATTTGACTCAATGTTTATAAAGTTCTACAACAGGGAAAATGATAGTGATATAAATCATAACTGTAGCTTCCTCTGGGGATACAGAGGGATACAGAAAACTGAATAAAAGGAGACATTGACAGGGCAAGTTAAGTTTCTCATGTACTTTAATGAAGAAGTAAAATGACCGAAAATGTAAGGTCCAGGTTCTTGGTCACCTCTTCAAACATCTGTTCTCATAAAGGTGTTATAAGGTGTAGAAGATGGTAAAGATTTTAAGAATAGTTTCTAAAAATGTCAGTTATCTTAATGGACAAGCAGTACATAGGACTATAAACAGGAAAGAGGTTTTTATCCATGGGAGAAATCTCATATTCTTTAAAGCAATACTTTTCAAACTGAAATGGACATGAAGGGCTGGAGAAATAGCACACTGCTTGATAAGGTACAAGTGTGTGTGGACCCAGGTTTGGATTCCTAGAATCCTTGTGAAAACATCAAATAGGTGTGGCAGCTACCTGTAATCCCAGCACTTTGGAGGCAGAAGTAGGAAATACCCGGGCAAGCTGGCTAGCTAGCCCTGACAGACAGACTTGGTGAGTCCTGAGTTCAGCAAAAGTCCCCATTTCAATGAATAAAGTGAGTAATGACCAGAAAAACATCTGGGGCCTCTACACACATATGCATACAAATGTAAGCACACTCACATATATACATGGGTGTGCCCAAATATATGTGAACATGAATTGTGGGGACACACATACACACAAAGACATTCATAAGAATGTACTTAAGAGTAACATTACTAAAATTAATTTCAAATAAATCCTACAAATTCATCATTATATACTGATGACATATGTTCAGCAGAACCATGGGACAGAGTATTACAAACTAGTAAAGAAAAGACCCAAAAGAGGATTAAGTGCTAGAAAAACACTTTCTCAGTTGGGTGGTGGTGGCACACACCTTTAATCCCAGTACTCAGGAGGCAGAGGCTGGCAGATCTCTGAGTTCGAGGCCAGCTTGGTCTACAAAGCTACACAGAGAAACCCTGGCTCGAAAAATCAAAAAAAAAAAAAAAAAAGAAAGAAAAACACTTTCTCAGGCTGGAGAGATGGCTTAGCAGTTGAGGGAACTGACTACTCTTTCCAGAGGACACAGGTTCAATTCCCGGCACCGACATAGAGGCCAGGATCCAACATTCTCACACAGATAACATACAGGCAAAACACCAATAAAACTTTTAAAAACTTTAAAAAAAAAAAAAAAAAAAAAAAAGGAAAAGTACTTTATCTCAGAGGGACAGAAACAGTCTACTGTTTCTAAGAGACTTACAAACAAAGGAAGAAATGTAACCGCTTAGTTTGTACAAATTTTGAAGAAATGGACCAGTCTAGATATTTTAGTTTTTTTTTTTTTTTCCTTTTCTGTTAAAAATGCAGTTTTAAGCTGGACCCACGCAGGCTTACTTAGTGATTCTTTATATACATTAACTAAGAGAAATGTCATACCTCACTACATGACGCAACTGCTCTGTGTAAAGGTGTCAACCATTTGCTGTCTTTGGCATTAACTCTAGCTCCTGTAACAAGAAGAAAAAATAATTGAAAGAGTTTACACGAACTATTTTTAATAAATCTATAGTTAGATGTAGTCCCAATTGGATAACAATTGAAAAATTACTTGTATAATTCCTGTCAATAAATTAACTTTAGGTTATAAAACAAAATTATTCTTTTAAATTGATGTAATTATCCAAAAAGGAATCAGTTCTTTTTATTAAAAATAAAGTAAACATCATTTTATATCTAGGCTAGAAAAGCCACCTTTATACAGAGCATATTCAAGAAAAAAAATCAAATCCCACTTCAAAGTATGTGTTAACCTCAAATACTTAAAAGAAACAAACACAATATTACTCCAAGATGAATTATGTATTAATTTAAAATCTTCATTGTATTTCTTTACTAATGAATGTATTAGGTCATAAAGTAATAGAAAGTTAGTTGTAAAGGTCTACCTATAAACACACTGATACTATAAGGTTATTGTACAAAATGGATTCAATGTTTACAAATGTAGGAAAACAAAGATGAAACAAACCAATTTACATGTCTTTCTTGGTTATACTTAAAGTTAAAGAAGGATTTTTAAAAAATCAAGTCATGTGTAATTAAAAAAATAAGTCAACAGACAAAAGTACCAACAAAACACAAATGCATCCAACAAGATAAAATATTACATCTAGTTAAAAAAAAAAAAAAAAAAAAAAAACAAATAGAAGAGGCTCACAGAGTAGTATGTAGTAGTATGCAGTGACAGAAAAGAAATTGTTCTGGCTATTCAACTGGCCACTAGGTTCTGTCCTATATACATCACTCTAGATTTATGCTGCCAACCCCAATTCCTAATATCCTAGATGATTAAAAAATATATTATGAATAATCCTTAATAGATTTCTGCAGTTTTATACTTATGTACACAAATCAGAGTCAAGTACTGCTAGACTTTATACTTCCTAATGCTTACATTTCTTCTGTTTTTAAGTGTGTGGATCCAGGGGACAGATAATCAAGTACAGTGACTTTAAGTTATAGCTCTAATGTAGTGTGTGACCCCTCTGAACCTAAGTTTCTTCATATGTAAAAGATTTCATAACACCTTGGTGCAAAGATCACAATATAATAAACCCAGTACATATAGTACACACGTTGGTGGTAGATTTAGAAGTAATACAAGAGACTATAAAACATGCAGAAAACAAATGTATTAAAAATTTGAGAGTAGTTGGGTTCTCTGTAGGCATCAACAGTGACAACAATGATAGAACCAAGAGCCATTGAGAGAGCTTTCAAGAATTCTGAGAGGGAAGGAAGGAGTAAAGTCAACAAAATAATGAACTAATCAATATTTTAAAAAATATTGTCGGGCAATAGGCCAGTCTGATCTTCAAAACTGAGCTCCAGGACAGGCTCCAAATGTACAGAGAACCCCTGTCTTGAACCCCCAACCCAAAAAAGAAAAAAAAGAAAAAGTAGCGCTAGTGAATCTAACTCAGGATCTTGTACATGGTACACAGTGCTCTACCAACAAAGTACACTCAGACAAGAGTATATTCGTGTATACTTAGGCAACTACCTGTCAGGCCTGTGGAGGCCAAGATGGTTAAGCACACAACCTGGCCATAGTAAAGTCAGACTTTGTTTTGTGTCTAGGAAAAAAATACTTGAAAAAAATTTCATTTCCTTGGAAAGCTCAAGTCCTAGAGTTACTGAAGTATAATAGGATCTGATAAATCTCTCATTTGCCTGAGGAATTCCATGGTTTTCTATTATCCCCACGACTCTTTCTACATAAATATTTATGTCTACAAATATATTTGTACATAGTAGAGATACAAGCCTGAAGGTATAGGCTGACAACTAGAAGAGAAAGCACCTGGTTCAACAACCAAAAAGATGAGATCTCATAAATGCCTTCAAGCTTTAAAGTAATGACAAAAGAACAGAATGTGGCTGCCACAAAAAACAAGGAGGTGCTCCATGTGCTGATACAGCTTTGAGAAATAAAAAGTCATAAAAAAAAAAAAAAAAAAAAAAAAGCAACAACTAAAATAATGTTTTACCTTCAATTGGAAGTAGAAAGAGATATGTCTATATTCTTATTTGCTTAATACAAATACTGAAACCCTAGAGGAAGGACAACATATTAGAAGAGTAGGTACCTGGCTGATTGGTTATGGGGTACACTGAATACTAGGCAGGCACACTTCATTGTTATTTTGTATTATTATAGTTCTTGTTATTTTCTATTTATGTACAGAATAATCTTTGTAGGCCTATTTAAAAAATAAAACATGTTCAAGAAGAAATTAAAGGATGATCATGAGAAATTCCAAGAATTTGGCTTCAAGTACAAACAACAGGAAATGAAACAGGAATTGTATATTTTTTCCTTTTTCTATTTTTTAAGTATTTCTTTTGGATATGGGTTATCAGATACATAATACATGGAATATAAGTGCACTAAGGAGATCAAAATTCAAAAGAAATCTCCCTGTTCTTTCTGTCTTGTTCTGAGAGTCTTTTTTTTATGTTTAGTAAACTATCAAAATTAATTTACTACTATAATTTACTACTATAAATAACTACTATAAAGAATCCATTAAAAGTTAACTGAGGGATATCACACTGCTTCTTGTAACAAATAAAACTAAAAAAATATGAGGCTTGTTCAATGATGGGACTGTAAACTTTGTAAACTTCTGGACATTACTTTTTTTTTTAAAGTAGGGTGATGAGTGATGCATTATGTAAAATTCCCAAATAATCAGTAAAAATGTTAAAAAATAAAAATAAAAGCACTAACCAAATGTTTTGACTTCTTGTAATGAAAATGCCAATTTATGAAAAACACTGCAGGCATCAATGAAAAGATCCTTATCTCACACACTTGCACTAATTTGTACGTGATTTGCATACTAACAAACATGATATAGTAATGCACATTTCCAAGAACAGTATTGGCTGTGTTCCTAACAAAAGGAAGTAACAACAACAATAAGGATGTAAGAACCACAAGCAAAGCAGCACATTTTTGATGTTTCATATTCCTAGAGCCTCTTTCGATACACTCTGAAGGCAATAGATTTCTGTTCTACAAAGATCTCTAAGATTAGCTGCACATTAATATACACATTAGACAACAAAGTCAATCTAGTAATGCAAGATACAGCCATAGTTAATGTTACAACAGCTAGTCAAGAGTATAGAATACTAGTCAGAAAGGATAACAGGGAAGATGAGAAAGGAAAATAAAAAGGAACAGGAAGAGAGGGATAAGAGCATTATCTCCCCTTAAAACTTAAACTTTCTTTGTGGAGAGAATAAAAGACAAACAAACTTGTAACAGCCTTTAGCAGTACCATCACTCACTTCACATAGGACAAAAAATAAAAACCTATGAGCTATAAAGATGTTAAGTCACAAAGATTAACCTATTCACTACATCCTGGTCACTCAAGCAGAAACTATACACTAGCAACCCCATCTCCCCTGACTGCTACTGTTAGGTTACTGGTAGATGTGTTGGCAGGAGAAATCACTGCAAACTATCTTAAGGCAAAAGAGCAGTTTAAGGAAGATGGCATTGAATACTATTTTAACTGCGGAGCCATTTCTCCAGCCCCCAGTATAGTTCTCAAAGAATTAATAAAAAATATTTTTTGAAAGAACAAGAAATGTAGACACAGACAAAGACATATTGAAAGTAGAGGGAGAAGACCTCTACTCATCATAAGCCAAGGAACAGAGCCTTTGCTTTTAAAAAGGAAGTAATCCTGCTCATGCCTTGATCTCATGTTGTTTAAACTACCTATTTGATGGGACCTTTTAAAAAAAAAACAAAACAAAACAACAGCCTTGGCTAATTGATACACCTGGGTTCAAGCTTTCAAGGGGCTCAAACTTTTTATCTCTAATTCTTAAAGGCAGGAATATCAGATTCCTGTTCTACACTAAGAATTATTTTCTATAAGAGGACAATGAAAGAATTTTTGAATAATGTCTTCCATATGCCAGCAAGGTAACAATTCAGCAGTCTGCTAACATGATTTGAATGGAAGCTTTAAATTAATAACTCCCATGCAAAATATCTATTCTTAAGTGATGAGAAAATTTAGTCTTTCGGACAGACTTGCTAGAATAAAAATTAATGTGTATACAAATTTTAATCAATATGAAGCAATAGTTGTAATGAAGAAGGGTAGGTACAGGGAAGAGGAAAGATTCAGATTATGGCAGAGTTAATGTGCATTCAACAGACTGTGAGTCTGAATTCTGCCTCTAGCTTTTCAGCTACAATAGTACAAGCTTCAGTTGTAAGTCATGCTGCTAATAAAAGCTAGCAGTCTTAGTTTTCTTGTTTTGTAATACTTTCATAAAGTTGAGGGTAAAATACAATAAAAGGCTAATTTTATTATATACAGTAGTAAAGAGATACATTAAGTAATTGTTGCTTACTGTTATTTTACTCCTTCTAAAACAATTATTAGTTCCAGTGGATAGCAGTTTAACTATAGATTCTAAGAAAGCATGGCTATATGTGTAATGTCAAAAACACTATTTACTTACAAATCTTGGAGCTGCATCATATACAAATATTTATTTTCCAATGAATTTAACTTGACTACAAATTTCATAGTTTATTCTTAAAACAATTCACCAAAACTAATATGAAGAAACAATAATAAATTATTATGAAAAATTGTTGTGAAAAAATAATAAAATAATATGAAGAAACACCACCTTCAGTGAGGAAATAGTACTACTACTACATACTACTTATGTTCCCCATAAGCCTTGGGCATTTGAATACTTTGGTCCCTAGGTGGTAACCCTGTTGGAGGTTTAGATGTTGCCTTGCTGGATGATTGTGTGTCACTGAGGGCACACTTTCAGTTTCAAAGGTGACTCCCCAGTTCACTCTGCTTCCTGTTTGTGGTTTAAGATGTGAGTCCTCTCAGCTCTCTCAGCTGTCATGTTGTCACCATCATTATGAACCCTAACCCTATGAAACTGTAAGCCCCGACCAAATAAACCCTTTCTTCTGCAAGTTATCTTGGTCATGGTATTTTACCACAGAAATAGAAAAGTAACTAAAGCAGAAACTGGTACTAATGAGTGGTCTACTGCTGTGACAGACTTAATCATGCTGATTTTTGGAGGAATATGGAGGAGCTTGGAACTTTAAACTAGAAAAGTAGTTGAACATTTAATCAAAGCTAGATGAGTGCTTAGTAGGCACCTTAGTAGGAGCTTGGAAGACAGTAGTGCTTTGAGTTATGTGAAAAGTAGAGGCTTAGCTCAAGAGATTTCAGATGGAACAATATTAACAACTAGGCAAGAGACCATTCCTGATATTTTAGCAAATAATGTGTCTGAATTTTTGACTTTGTCCTAAGAACTTTCTTAAGGCGAAATTTAAAAGTAATGAACTAATTTCTTTGGTGGAAATTTTAAGATAGCCTAATATCGGCTCTGTTGTATGGTTATTAGCAATCATATGTAGGTCTACAATGAAAAGGAGCAAATGGGGTACAAAGAAATACAAAACATACAGGTTGGTGAGACAAAGACACTGGCAAGCTAAATATTACTGCTGTGGCTTATGCTGGAAGAGGGCTTTAACTGTTAAGATTCACACCATTAAGGACAGGTCAAATCTGCCTCGGAATAAAGGAAAGAGTGTGCTCAGGACAAGACCACACCCAATTAAGTTTCCAACTTGTGAAAAAATTTTTCTGTTCTCCAAAACCAACAAAAACAATAGGTGGTGCTAATGTGATTAAAGGCTGTGGGGGAAGAATCAATCCCATGTTTGCAGCTCTACTTGGCAGTGTCACCCACATGGTGCTGGCTTAGAGTAATGAAGGATACATGAAAGATAAACTTCCTTTGCAGTTTAAGAGAGTCATTGAGGCTAGGTATGTGGCAGGTGTGAGTGGGGATGTCCCTGCATGGAGGCCTGAAGAGGTCATTGTCTGAAGCTGTGAAAAGTAAAATCTGGGTTGTGGTGGAGACCCCAAGATGTTAAGAGTTGCCGAGGTGGTGAGGGTAATCTTGCAGGTAGTGAAACTGGAGGGATAGTGGCATCTAAGCACTTTGGCATCAGATAAGAAGCTACAGAATTTGGAGTTTGTCCTGCAGGGTTTCGGTATTTATTGCTTTGTTCTACTATTTTCCCCCCACTATGTTTCTATTTTTCCCTTTTGTTGTATGTTGGAAGCAGATTTTATTGGGGGAGGGGCAGATTTACAGCTAAGAGACTGTCTTGAATCTCAGAAGAGACTTTAAAACAGTTGGACTCTGCAAAAGACTAGGAAGAGTTTTCAAATTATTTGCATTATGAAATGGTCAGAGGCCTGTGTGGGCCAACAAGTGGAATGTGGTGGTTCAAATGAGATGTGCCAATAAATACTGTGCATTTGAATACTTGATCCCCACTTGTTTGGGAAAGGCTTAGGAGGTGTGGCCTTGTTGGAGGGAATGTGCCACTGATGGCTGACTTTGAAGTTTGAAAAGCTGGTTTCCAGCACGCTTTCCTTGTTTGAGGTCTGAGATATGGGCCCTCACACTCCAGCCTCTATGTCTGATTCCTGTTCTCATTGTGTCCCCATCATTATGGACCCTACTGGAACCATAAGCCCCAAATAAACCCTTCCTTCTGTATATTAGTTTTATCAAAGAAATAGAAATAATAAAACAGCACCACCATAAACCAAAATATAAAAAAAAAAAAAAAATCCTATCTATTTTAAGAAAATATGTGTCCAATGAGGATGGACACTGACTTCAGTGAAGATTCTTCATATACAGAGAAGGCTACTGAGTTCTCTAAAAGAACATTTTGTACTAGTATCAATGTGTTCCTTTCTCTTGGCTATGTGTTCTAAAATCCCAAGCAATCTTTCATATGATCTGGAGCTGCCTAGGTCATCTTCTTACAAAAGAACACTATGCTAAAGAAGAGGTCAAATAGGCGATGTGGTTAATTTTTACATTAGTGGTGATGAGGAAGAGTAACAGTCAATCAGCAACAGATCACTCCATAAAAGTCTATGGACTTGAGGAGAAAGCCACCTTCTGTTCCAATAGTATAATTTAATAAAGAAGACCATGCTGCCCAAAAATATACTTGGTTAGAATAAACCCACTTAAAATTTACTTAGTTATTATACATAATTTTACTTCTTAGAGGTATGTCAATCATAAATCATAGGCCTGTTTGCTATTTGTTCACTTTTAGGGACCAAACTCAGAAGGTATCAAGCTTTAAAGTCCATTTCTTGATTCAGTAATCTGTCAAACAAGAATGCCCCTGGTGCCATTTAGACACGAAATGGATTCCATAAGGTAACTAACAGTCCTTACTGGAAATATTCACTCTTAAAGATACCAAGTCTGACTCAGTTCTAGCATCAGAAGTTTCTTCTGAGTATAAAAATCTTAATTAAATGGGTGTGTGTGTGAAATCAATGTCATATAAATAGTTTGTATATTAAAATAACAGATTCTTTAAAAACAAAACCCCCATAGCAATAAAGTTATCAAAAGTCATACACATTAAAATAAACAGAACTAACTGTATGCTTCTTACACAGCTTTTTCTTTTATCTTTTTGTGTATGCTATGTATGTGAGCACATGATGTGAGTGTGAGTCAGAAGACAAGCTCATATGCTGGAACTTTCCTTCCACTAGGTGTTATCTTTGTTGCTCACCACCACATATTGTAGTTTGTAGAAATTCTTTTGTCTCTGTCTTCCACCTCACATGGGCACTCTAGGATTAGAAACATGCTATCATGCCTAGTTTCACATGGATTCTGGGGATTCAAATCCAGGTCTTGATGCTTATGTGACAAGCACCTAGCTCACTGAGTCATTTCTCTAGACGTATCACAGATATTTTTCAACATTAAAAAAAATGATTTTTCAATAATTTTGTGACAAAAATTCCATATATTACGTTTTGACTCATCAACATATTCTGCTAAAAAGATGCCCTGGTTAAGAAGAAGCAAGATCTTTTTTCAACTTCTTGTTCATAATTTCAGTTTTAGCTGAAAACTAATGAGTATAAACAGAGATGAAAAAATTCATAAAGAAATAGATAGGTCCACATCATATTTAATTCTATGTAACTGTAAAATTTGTTTTAAGAGCCAGATTTTAAAAATTTAAATATATGTATAGTAGCAAAATTTCAATGATGTATTTTTGAAACTGTGTAGAATTTATTATTTTTATTTTATATACATTGGTGTTTTGCCTGCATGAATGTCTGTATGAGGGTGTCAAATCCCCTGGATCGGGAGTTACAAACAATTGTGAGCTGCCATGTAGGTGCTGGGAATGAACCTGATTTCTTCTGGAAGAGCAGCCTGTGTGCATAACCACTGACCCATCTCTCCAGACTTAATGAAGTACTTTTAAGGAGACTACATCACAAAATGTCTTTCTATTAACTGTATGTTCAATCTAGCAATACAAGAATAATTCAGTGTCTCATATCCTTTACAAACAAATCAGTAAAATAATCTAGTTATGAGGCTGGAGAGAGAGCTTGGCGACTTAATAGCACTTGATACTCTTGCAGGGTGGCTGGGTTCAATTCTCAGCACCCACATGGTCAATCACAACCATCTATAACTCTAGTTCCAGGGCATCAGAGGCCCTTTTGTAACCTCTATAGGTAGCAGGCATAGATGTGGTGAACATACATACATGTATTCATACACATAAAAAAATCTGGCTACAATAAAAATATTTCTAAACCACTTGACTTCCTGCTTTGGGATTCATAGCCAGTCTGGTGTCAATAAGAGCTATTCAACAAGAGTAAGTTCGTGTGTGTGTGTGTGTGTGTGTGTGTGTGTGTGTGTGTGTGTGTGTGTATATATATATATATATATATATAAATAAAGACTTCACTGAAAAGTTTAGAAGTTAGAAAAAGAGAAATAAACTAGAATCGCCCCCTGCTCATGAATGTACAATAGAGCATTATACATTGTAGGCTGATAATTATCTTGAACTCCTGATTCTCCTGCTGTTCTTTCCAGAGTTGGGATTACAGTAACATGTGTGCTGTTACACCTAGTTTAGGCAGTGCCAGGGAGCTGGGTATGGAACCCAGGGCTTCCTATATGCGAGACCAAATGAGCTACACACTCAGCCCATAAAGCGTAATTTATAAAAAGGCATTTTAAACACCTTTAAAAAATTGGAATAAAAGCTATTTTCTTTTGGAGATGTATGTGTGTGTTTTCCTGTGTAGGTACATGTGGTATATATGTGCATGTGGAAACCAGAAATCAATGTTGGGCTGTCTTCTTTAATTACTTTCTACCTATTCTTTTAAACAGTCTCTTACTGAACCTTGAACTCACTGCTTTTGCTAGGCAGTTTAGCTGGCCACTGAACTAGATATCTACCTGTCTCTGCCTCCCCAGAACTGAGATTGCAGCTGTGAACTGCTGCACTCAGATTCTTATGTGGGTGCTAGGGATCTAAACTTCGAGTTGCATGCTTACACAACAAGCACTTTACCAACTGAATAATATCCACAGCTCAAAATAAAAGCCACTTAAAGAAATAAGTTGTTAGCCCTGCCTTAAATTTCTGTATACAGTAAGACTTGTTTCTTCCTACCTAGCTGCTGGGCCACTATTACCACTACTACCCTGTCTCCTTTGGAGAAGTCACCTTTGGAGAGAGATAATTGGTTCCTTGTAACTCTGTATTCAATGAGGCCCATGAAACATTTGTAACATTTATTTCCTTCTCATTCCTCCTATAAAGACAGCAACCTTGGTTCTACTTCTTAAAGTACATTAAGTATCTACAACACATTATGTGATCATATTTTGTAGAGTGAATCAATTGGTCACAATTTATGAAACCACTATTAAGAAACAGTAGGCACTCAGGCTTGATAAACACTTATTATGACAAAACTAAACATGAACTTATCACAGGAGACGTCCTACCAGATAAAATAAGTAGTTCAATGATTTCTGCATCTCCAAGATAGGCAGCAGCATGTAAAGGAGTTCTCTTTTCATTATCCTGTTTGGAAAAATGAAATAACACTTTTAAAATAGCCCCCTAAAAAAAGTTTGAATAAAATGAAAACATTATTAACCACACAATTATTATTTCTACAACTCTACAAGTCTCAATAAGAAAATATAAGGTGTTTCAACTGCTAAGATGAGAAAAAAGCCTTTACAAATGCAGTTGACTATAAAACCATGGCTTGAGCTTAATGGTTTGGCCCTACTTTGAAAATCTGCAATGAAACAAATTCCAAAAGGTTTTGAGAGCCGACATGATACCAAAAATGGAAAATTAATTTTGCAGAAATTTTGTTTCACATGCAAAATCCTTAAAGATATTATGCACAATTATCCTCAGCTGATGTTTATAAGACATATGTGAAATCACAAGTCTTGTGATTAAACTTGAATCCTATCCTCAAAACAACATACTCTAGTACCAAGAATTTTAGATAAAGGATATTCAACCTATATAAAGTTCATCAAATAATAAAATTTACAATACAAATGGAGAAATAGTATGTACATACATACATTTTTTTTTTTCTGCTCAAGACAGGGTCTCGCTATGTAGACTAGGCTGGCTTCAAATTCAGATGCCTGCCTTTGTGTCACAAATGCTGGGATGAAAGGAGTGTACCACTGTGCCTGGCTTGAGCAAATATATTTTATATACTTTTCTTTTACTAATACAGTTGCAAAAATTTAAAACAGTTTAGAATTGACAGCTTAACAAACTTCAAAATATCAGATAATGTACTCATCAAAATGTTTCCATAGGAGTACTCTTAGAGACACAGAAAGAAAATGTCTTTGTGAATTTAGAATTACCTTTTAACACAATACTAAGATTAGTCTTAATGTTTCTATTGCTTTTTACTTTCATACCCAAAATACATGCATGTCTGTTTTAATATAAAAAAAAAAAATACATCTTTTTTATCTTCCTCCAGAAAGGGAAGCTACATCTAATATTCAGCAATTCTCTTCCTCTGAAACAAGCAAGTTCCAATTGAAGCAAGGTATAAAGTAATGTCACATTAAGAGACTTTTAATCAACAAAGCACATACAAAATTACATTGGACTATCACTGACATGGCTTATTTTGAGATTTACATTTAGTGTTAAGTTCTTTTCTACCATGTTCTATTTGCTATCTATAGAAAGCAAGTTGTGCCAGGCTATTACATAGAGAAACCCGATGTAGTAGGTCAAATGTAACTGGTCCCTGTAAACTCATAGGAAGTGGCATTATTAGGAGGTGTGGCTTTGTTACAATGGATATGGTCTTGTTGGAGGAAGTGTGTCATTGTGGAGAAGGTATTAAGGTCTCATATATGCTAAAGCCATTCACAGAGTTCCAATTCACTTCCTGTTGCATTTGGATCAAGATGTAGAATTCTTAACTCCTTCTCCATCACCATGTCTGCTTGTATGCCACCATGTACCACCATAATAATGGATTAAACTTAAGCCACCCAATTAAATATTTTCCTTTATAAGAGTCATCATGGTGTCTCTTCCCAGCTACAGAAACCCTAACTAAGATACCCTGTCTCTACAAACCAAAAAGAAAGAGGAGAAGAAGCTTGCCATTTACTGTATGATGAGAGGTTACATCCTGTGTTACCTAAAGTTATGTTACCTATAATTAGTGTGGACCAACAGTAGAGGAATAAATCATCTCACAGAACTTTCAGATCACCTTCATTTTAAAACCTGTCAAGTTGGGTGACTACACATGCCTAATAGCAGCATATGGAAGGCTGAGACAGAAATATCACAGTTCTATCCTGGGCTACATTGTAGAATCAAGTTAAGCTATATATATAGCAAGATCTTGTCTAAAAAAACAAAACAAAAACTAGTTTTCAACTGAGTATTTTCACACTTCCCACAGGCCAAAAAAGGCACATGTGAAACCCTCCAGCTCTGAACATGTACATGTAGGCCACTAGCACAACAGACTGTCAAACAAGACTGAATGATTTCATAAGAACTGAGCCACCATCTTGACACTAACCTCTAGACCACTTAGAAAAATAAGCTTATATAAAGTCAAATAACCTCCAGTCTTCATGGAGGGTGGCAGGGGGCGTGGTTTGTATGTATATATACATGGGTGTGTATGTGTGCATGTGGAGGCCAAATGTCAACCCCAGGACTCATTTCTCAAGAGCTGTCCACTTTGTTCCGGTGGGCTCAATCACTAGGATCTGTGACTTGCTGATTAGGCTAGTCTGATTGGCTAGTGATCCCCAGGAATCTGGGCCTTCCTAGTGTTAATATTATTATAAGCATGTAACACATCCAGTTTTTATGTTGAGTATTCAAACTCTGGTCCTCATACCTGTCCAGCAAGTATTTTACCCACTGAGCTATCACCTCAGTCTCAAAATTGTAAAAGATAATAAATTTACTTGATTTTGAAATAATTTTCTAGTTTGAGAATCCCTAAATTACTTTAAGAATAGCTGAGAAAAGGTGTCTGTGGAAGGCTTACAATACCATAAAAGTACTATATGGGAAATTAGTGTTACAAAGGTTAAAGGAGTCAGTAAGCTAAGAGTCCTTACCGCTATGATCCTAGTTAGAATCTACTGCATCAGGTTTTTATTTTAATTTTCATCCCAGGAAACGGAATAGACTGAGAGAAATCACACACTAAACAACAGCTGAAAAGCTAACACAATATCTAGCAAACATTGAAAGATAAAGATTTACTGAAATTTGAATGCTAACTTAGACATTTTGATGTTACTCATTAACCAAACAACTCTGCTAATGTAAAGATGTAACAGATCTAGTAAAATAGAAAAGCATCTCTATTGCAATGAATAAACATGATAGAAAACACGATGACACAGAAAGTGAGTCATCTGTGTCTAAGAGATGCCTGGAATTCTATGACTCAATGCTTGGACTACTATGAAGCTATAAATGACTCATATTAACATAATATTCCTCTATGTAAATCAAAACAAAAGGAGGAAATTAATGACTAACAAAAGAAAAAAATACAAATCTTGCTTTAATTTAGGCAAAAGCTAAAATTCCCATTAGCAAAATATGGCTTTTAAAATTATTTTTTTTTAATGAAGAAATTCTAACCTGTCTTTAGAATAAATGAGAAGAGTTTATTGAATCATTGTGGGAAGCAAAATACTGAAAACAAACTGGATGTCCCCTAAATGGTTACTTAAATAATAGGACACAAGAAGCTCTTCATCAACCTTTATTTAACTAACTCGCATGATTAAACAATATTCTCGCTTTACTGGATAAAATGAATAGTTATTTTTTTGCACAAGATTCTTGACTCATACAGTCTTCCACTAACACTAACAAATCCACACACTCTGATCATACAGTGGGGTATGAATTTACCAAGGGTAAACTGTGTGTGTAATTTATGTATATGTGGTTTATTTAAATAGCATTTAAATTACAAATCAGGAATGAAGAACCAAATAGTTCTATGATAAACAGGCTAAACATTATTTTAAAAAAATTAATAAAGGAAATGTATAGACATTTAAAGTGCTACAGAACTGAAGAGGGTTAGACAACTGAAGCACTAGGCTCTGTGCCTCAAAAAAGACTGAAAGTAAAAAGGACTAGTTTTGTCTTAAAAAGTGTTTCCCTGTGTACCACAAGCTGGTCTAGAACTGTTAGGTAATCCATGGAGGCTCAAACTCAGCATAATCCGACCTATACTTCCACAAGTAGTGAGACTGCTGTGGAGCACCAAGTCCCCAAACAGCACCATAGAGAAGAATGAACCTGGCTGCCTCTTCTCTGACCTGTTTCCTCCACCATACCATGGTTGTCTGACAGCTAAGATGGACTTCTTAAGAAATAGGGAGATAGATACCAACAGTCTCTACTGCTTCTGTAGGTGACTATACAGATGACCCCGGTGGTCTTCATAGTCTCTTTACAATTTAGAAAATTGCTTGGCATTTATGTGACTGTATCACCAGAGTAGGAGATCATGATATGTATCCCCAACCATGATCTAATGAACCCACAGTTAGAACATATCCTCCTTTGAGGGACAGTAGCTTGAGAGACAACTGTCATACATGATGCACAGGTCTACTTTCAGCAGAAAAACTGAGACCTTGCTCCCAAACTCAGTGACCACACCTAGGTTACAGAGCTTTATACAGTAAAAGTCAACAGAAATAACCCAGGACTTTTCTAAGAGGAGGAAAAGCTGTGACACTGGCACAATGACATATATGTACAGCCTAGATCACTAACATAAGTCAGATATTTCCCACAAGAACCATGGTTAGAGAAAACTGCAGAATCCATATAGAGTCAAAACAGAATCAAAGTTTACTCACCATACCTAATGGAAAGACTACCAGAAAAACTGGGTTGGGGGGGCATTAAACACAATTTTTCCTAGCATCTGATTGACAATAAAAAATAAATTTATAAACTGTCTGGAAAGGAATTCAGAATAATGATCATACTGAAACATTATATGAGACAAACAATCTGACAGATAATTTAATGAAATCAGGAAAGCAATTCATAGCCTGAATGAAAAATTCAATAAAGAGTTCATAAAAAAATAAAATCAAAACAACAATACCCCCAACAGAAAGCTTTCAATCAAAACCTTTAATGAACGAAACATTTAAATTCAAAGGTTTAAAAAAAACAGAATAGGTCAAGTAGAATTTTTGAACATGGACAAGTCTTAAACTAGTTCAGTTGAGTGAAAAGGAAAGGAGACAGGTGGGTAGGGGGTGGATGGTGCTGTAAATCACAGGAGAATAAGCATTGCATTATGGGAGTTCAAGAAGGCAAAGAAGCTGAGTTGTTGGTGCATACCTATAGTCCTAGCACGTGGAGCATACAGAGAAGTCATCCTCACTACATGACAACTCTGTCTCAAACAAACAACCCAAAGCAAAACATAAAAGACAGAAAATATGTTTAATGAAGAAACATCTAAAACCTTCACAATAAAGCCAAAAACTTGAGAGAAATTA